CTGATGTCTTGAGGAAATATTGAGCTTTATGCAGCTTTATTAAATATTTATATTAAGAATTGAGATTTATTTTAAGCACAAATATGATTCTCATCGACCATTTAATATTCTTATTCTTAATCAAAAATTAAAGTGATCAATACAGCAAGGTACAGGGAAAGCAACACACGTGATTGAAACTATCCTTTAACATCATGAGAATTTAGACAAAAACTATTCAAAATAACAACTTTAAACCTCTTTATGCTTATTTTTCCACCTCACAAAGCCTCAATACACCATTCAGCCTTGAAGCTTTTCAATTCACATTGTATTTATTATTCTGGAAAATGCAAATGTCACATGACGAATAGAGGAGAAGATTCTCATAAATTATTGAAAGGCTTTTTGCACATTTTCTATAGAAAACTCATACATCAAGCTTGTTATTCTATTATTCCTGTACGAGACAGACATTTCATGTGTTTTTTCAGTAATTGAATGTTTTTGGGAAAATAGAATTGAGAACAATTTATTTTTTGACGAGAATTTGATAGATTGGGAAATTTTGGTGTTTTCAAAAGCTGATTTTAAACTTTTGGGAGAGACATGGCGTGACTATATGGTAAGGAACGTTTTATAGAGCGTAGCAGGGGTCAAAACAGGTCCAAAACAATCCCTTACACCCGTGTTGTTCAAACTGTGTGCCGCGGCACACTGGTGTGTCGTAGAATTTTTTTGTAAATGACGCATGCTGTGTGCGACTTTGGTAATGACTTAACCTTAAGGTGTGCCGTGGCTCAAAAAAGTTTGGAAGAGCTTAGAATGAGATCTCATTGAAGTTCTCAAAATAGCACAAAATTATTTAAATTATTGTCGGATTTAAACTAAACCCCAGCTTCCTCTACTCCACCTTCAGTTCATAACATTCAGGCTACACCACTAGCACAGTCCTTATTCATGCATGCTTGCCTCTACAAACATTCATGATAATTTCTCATTCAAAAATGCTTGACATTTTCAATTGATTTTATTTTTTTGAAAATTTATGCTTAAAAAATGAGAAAACAATATCGATAATGTGACACGAAATTATGTTTATTGGGACAATGATGCTTGTTATTCAGTCAAATGAAAATTGAATTTAAATTAGTAGTGTGGAATTTTTTTCTTTTTTAATATTATCGGCACGTGGAATTTGAATGAATATTATTTGGAAATTATGAAATATTTTTTGAAGTATTTGTAATTATTATTGATTAGTCTAATTATTTCGTATTGAAAAATTTTTTTGATGAATGTGGTTGAATTATAATTGTATAAATTTAATGAATTTCATTAGGCTATGAATCGTAAATGATATTATTTAATTAATTTGATTGACAATTCGATCAAAAAAATTTAAAAAAAGGAATTTTGTTTTTTTGTCAGGCCTGAAATAGGTAATTAAAGAAAAACTGTTGAAGATGGGGAAATTTAGCATTCAAAAGTTTGGTTTTCTTCTAATAAAATAATGCCCAAAAACTATGCTTAATGCATAAAATTAAGGGGCAGTTGAGTTTTTTATTGAAAGCTTTTATTCTGAACTTTGAAATGTAATTTTAAACACACAAAAAACCTCTAATTACTCTATTTAGATTTAATTTTCCATCTGATTGTTAAATTTCCATGAAAAATTCCAATTATCATTGTCCTACAAAAAAAAATCAAATCAAATCAACAAATTAATTGCCTAGTAATGCCAAAAAAAAAATTAAAGCTCATTCAACAGAAGAATAAGAAATAAATTGTGTGAATAAAAGAAAATTAATTAATGATATGAAATCTATGATAATGGCATAATCGTGACTATAGACAATTTCAGTCTTCAACATATATCGCCCCTAAAGGCTCACAAAAGATTTTCTTTTCTTTCTTTATTTTCATTATCTTAATCAACAATTAGATTGTTTGATTAAAGCAATTTGAGCAGTTCTGAACAAACATTCGGAATCAATTAATTAGTGATGATTGGATCATAAAAAGATTGAGCAAATTTGTCTTTCCCACCCTTCTAACACAGCTTTAGATGGAGTAAGGAAAAAGGAAAAGAATTTCTTTCCTTCCGGTAATTTCCTATCGTTTTTAACTTTCTTTTATGTTCCTTTTGTGTGCTCAGAATGGAGGAAAATTATCGTTATTGAAAGAAGATGACTTTGTATGTTTATTTATGCGACTCATGGGGATCTTAAGTTATTGATAGAGATTTCTACATATGTGTGATAAAATCGCTCTTCTATATCTCCTTAATAGAAGAAGTGTAGCTTGAAAGAGACAAGGAATTGTAAAGTAAACAACTTAAGTGTAAGGAGAGATTCTCGAGAGCAGCATTGATGATAAAAATTTCTTCTTTTTTTTTGCTCTGTAAATTGAATTTCTTTACTTCCAATTTTCACTAGCGATTTTTGTGATTGTGTGTTTGTTGAGTCTTCAAGATGTCGGTCTGCTTATCAAATAGAAATTTCAGACCAATCTTCTTCCTTAATCAATTTGTTTAATATATTAATTGTCATAAAGCTAAAGTTAAAAGCCTTCAGACCCATATCCCCCTTCTTCTGTTGAACTTTAACCACTTAAGCTATTCAGATCAACAACTATCCATTACTTCAACAGGATGTGATTCATCACTATTGGCAGTTTAACAACTGATGAGAATGATGATGTCCTTTTATGCTAGTTAATGCCGCAAGCTAAGCCAAGAAGCCAAACTAGAGATACCAAAGTATCAAGCCACTCTATGGCTCCCAAACCTATTATTACACATGCTCTTTAATAAAATCCGAATGACAGACAGCATGAAGACGCAAAAACTGGTGACGCTAAATCAGTGTAAGACTGGAAATGAAAAGGAATCTTTGTAAAATCTACGTTAATCCAGTTGACGTGTGCCATGCAAGAAAATACGTTCCATACTTCACAAAAAAAGGTATAAAAGTATTTTCTACTTCCCGTATAAATTTCCCATTCCTTTATACTCTTATTTTATCAAATCAATCGAATTTATTTTAATCGATAACACATGTAGTAACAATGTTAAAGAAGAAGGTAGACGATAAAGAAGAGAAATTCAATTCATTTCATTGATTTATCCTCCTACACTTCGATACTTACTCTTACTGCACATTATTCAGTCTTACTCAACACATTTCTCTTCCTCTCTTTTATATTCACTGTTGTGTATTTGCAGTACATGAAGAACAATATTGTGTGAACATACAATGCTTTGTATTACTAAGTGGAGATAGATTTATCATCAACATCTAATGCTCTTTTGTATTACAAAATATTTATAGTAAATGGAAGTGAATTTTCTTGTTGCACTTTCCTTTGTGCTTCCATGAAATTATTCTACATCTTCTTATGTTGAATAAATAAAAGTTTCTTGTTGAAAGCATGCACATGCACTATTGGAGAATTTGTTTGATTCTATTGGAAGTACAATACATTCAGATTATTGAATTTGTAGATACAAAGATCTTCAAGTGTTTGGAACACTAATTTATGATTTTATTTATTCATTGGAAAGTAATGATTGAAATGAGGATATTCACTTGGAAATGCTTTGTTTGACAAATGTAGCTAGGATCTGGAATCGTAGATAGTATGGATTCACAATGTCGAAGCCCAAAACGAGACTTAGGGAGTACTTAAGAGCCAGATTTAGATCGAGTGTAGTACAAAAATGAGCTATATCATACCACTGTCACAAAGCCTTTAAAGAGAGACTTCCAGCATACTACTTTGTAACCAAAATATAAACTTGATGAGCTCAGAAATCTAAGCTCGAATCCAAAATTTACTTTTTCTTGTACTGACCTTATTGCTTAATCCTTGAACAATCTCAAACTTTCCAAGCTATGCCTTTGGACAGAGCCTTAAGAGTTCAAACACTTTTTACAATAATAAACAATGAACAACAAATCCAAGCTCATTGCTCAGCTCAAGTATAAATAACAAAGGCATCACTTGATAAAGTTAAAAGAGCAAAAAAAAAATCCAGTTCAAGTTGTAATTGAATAAAAGTTGATTTCATTTTGCCTTCTTCTTCCTCAAAAAAACTTATTCTTCATCTTTTTTTCTTTAAAGCATTGGCAAATGCAATGTGATTGCAAGAAACTAAGAAAATGACCATCAAACGTGCTGTTGATAAGGGTAAAGGAAGAAGTACATTAAGAAAGTGTTGATGATACTTGAGGCAAATAGAAAAGAAGCTTAACAAGTTCTTCATGTCTTTTAGAGTTGACTTAATGATATTGAAGTAGATGAAAGAGAACTTTTAGGAATTAAACTATCAATGAAGAGCTGTAAACTTTGTTTCCTCCTTGTGCTTTTGGAAATTTTAAATTAAATGAGGAGTTTGTTGCTTCTTTGTATGGATTTCGTGCTTATTTTAAGAAAATTTTAGTTTTTGAATGTTTTAAATGCAAATTTGGAAAAGAAACTTAAATGTTGTTGGGAAAACACTGAATTGAGTAAAACTTACTTACGCTGTTAGCTAGGAAGTATAGCTGTTGGTCTAATAATTAAATTAAAGTTACTTTCTCTGATATTTAAGGTACGAATGCAAAATCATACTGAAAATGTAAACAAAACCAAAAGGGGGCATGAAACTACGTATATTTTTTATTAAAATTCAAATATTTTTTGACAGTTGTAAGATTCGTTGTGATATTTTGAATGCTGAAGCTCTCAATTAACTGATAACAAGCCATAACCCCCTTAATTTTTCAACTACATCCTCAACCAATCTTAAAACTGAATAAAGACCAAACTTATCACGCAAAACTTGTTAAAAGAACCAAAGTAAATTTTGTCCTATCACAAAACCTTAAATACGAAAGACATAATGATAACAAGTTGTTCCGACAGCATAATCTCTCCTACTTCCATAATGAAATGCTCCAATTTTCTTCTGCTGTAAGAAATAAAGTCTGAACTTAAAGAATTTCAACGAAATTTAATTAAAAAGCAGTTCAAGATTTTTATTTTATTTTTTAATTTATTGATTAAAATTTCATTGCGAAAAGCTTTTTAAACAATTGCAATTTGTGTCTTAAAAATAGAACAAAATTAAAATCTAATAACTTATTTCTTAAAATGAAATGTACCCTGCCTCTTAAAAGCTCGATGAAAGATTCAAAAGAGAAAATAAAATTGGATAAGAAATAAAAGAGACAATTTTTTTAAAATATAAGAGTAGACTTAATCCAAAAGGAAGTTATTTCGTGGTACATTTTTCAACAGTGAATTTGCAATGCCGGTAAATTCAGAGCTCAACTTTTTCTGCAATTGCGGTCTCATTGCATTGAGAATTTCATGTCCATTTTCCTTCAGAAAGAGATTTGTGGCTTCAGCTGAGGAATGAAAAATAAAAAAAATGTGGGAAAGACAAAAGTTTTTCCATTAAAAATTTGTAACACAGATTTTAAACCGCGAATTTAAAATGCACAAAAAGAGTAAATGGAGAGGAAGGTGGAGGAAAAAAAGGGATTAACTGGAATATAATGGAAGTAAATTTGTGTCATGTAATAGCTGCATCCATGTGTATAGTTACATTAAATTCCTTTCGTTTGAAAAATTCATGCTGAATATTAAATTGTAAAATGCATTTAGTGGTAAAAAAGAAAAACTTTTTAACTTTGCCGAACTTTAAGTTCTAGTCTGTCTGTCTGTCTGGTCGTCTGTAAGTATTGTAGATTGTCTATGAATTAAACTTTTGACCTTTCCAATAATGTTTGTATGTCTTGCTTCTTCCTCGCAAACAAACATACAAAGACAAAGTCTAACTGTTTGTTGGACTGTCCATATACACTGATGTAGGAAAGATGCCGACCAATATGAAAAGCTCATACAAGGCTCCAGGCACCTGAAGCTACGGCAATAAACTCATGTTGCTATCCCTCAAAATGCGCTTTCGTCAAGCGACCGTGTTTATATGTATGTTCGTAGTCAAATATTTGAGGAAACAATGTACTGTACGATGTAGAAGTTAAGGGATGAGAGGTAGAACATAATCATAGAAACAACGTTTTACGAGGGATTAATATTGTTAGCAAAAATTTTTTTTTACACGAATTAATTTGTGAATTTAAATCTGTGGATTATAATTGTTTGTAAAAGTTTCATCCAAAGATTAAGTTGTAACTTACTAAATTCAATTTATATCATAAATTGTAGCTTTAAGTCTATTGTCATCAATTTCACTGACCAAAAGCTTAAAAGCAACAATTTTAATCCATCAAATTATTGCAAATTATCAAATTCATTAAAATTCCACAATAATCCTCAAATTCCTCATAATCCCCAATAAACCATACAGATTTAATTAATTACTTTCCCATCCCAATACTCACTCAAAATTCTGTTGTTGTTGAAAATTTTAGCGACCGACAATTTTGGTCTTTTGACATTGAGATCAAGAAGGAGAGCATCAACATGCAAAAATATTCCATTTGGCTTCTCGTGTGATGAAATTTTGCCCTTAACATCTGCTGTCACACCATCTATATTGTTGTATTATGTTACGTCGGTTATCATAATTCGATGGCCACAGAACATGGAAGGATGAAAGAGAAGCAAACATAAAAATCAATTTTTCAGGATGTTCAATGACATTGTTTTAATATTTTACTGGAGTATGGTGTTATCATATGTTTGGTGATTATACCGAGCAGAATATGTGAAGGAGATGGATGTCTAGTGATGATTTAAGGTACAAAAAACTCAGAAGAATAGATTTTTAAATATGTTTTAAATTTAACGATTGAAAAATATTTGAAAAATAACCGTCAAAAAATATTTGAATCGCAATGATCCAGCAAAGATTAAGATAACCTATTAAGGGGTCCTTCACTTATGACGTCCGAAATTAACGGTCATTTTCAGGAATTACTATTGTTCTTTTTTTGCTGACTCCCCCACCCCCCCCCCCCCCCGGACGTCATAAGTGAAAGGCCCCTAAGCACATTCTAAACAATATAAACATCCACATTCGCAAACAAAATACTATATAACTCGGTAAAGTCACAGCATGCAAGCCAGACACATGATGACCTATAATCTTAATTAAATTTAATGTGTTTTTTTTACCAAAAACGGCATTGAATTCACCACCACCGCTGGCCGGGATAATAATAAGAACACCGCTGCTAGTGTATTTGGCCTTAATTACCAAACGTGGTATCGTGACAACAGCTTCGAAAGGCTTCGTTCCCTCACCCAAGCTATATAACATTGAAATAATTAAAGCTTATTAATAGAACAGCATTGAACTTTTTAAAATTGCATAGATACTTACGTAATTGACTTGACAGTGAAATTTGAGGCGCCAAACACTTCCATATCCTTGAGATTAATTCGATATCCATTTGGTCCGCCAGTCAATGCCAATGAAAGCACGTCCATGGTAAACGGTTCAACTGATGGCATCTAATTGTGCGAGAGACAAGAGAAGAGAAAAAAATGTTTAGAGCTTGTAATTTAAAATCAAGAAAACCTTGGCATTGAAGCATCGACACATAACAATGAAAACACAGCACACGCCATATAACTATAGCTATGGAAACGATGAATCACGTGCATTAAAAAAATAAATGGACTAAGGTAATGTTTTTATATGCGCGCCGGTTTTTGACGCTTCCACATGTATTTTAAAATGGAAATACATGTTTAACCGTATCGGCATATTTGCATATGAATGTGTACATTGACACTTCTTCTTCTTCTTCCTGCTCTATCAAATGCGTATGGAAATGTAAACGATTATTTATTTCTCATCTGCTTGCTCTAGACATTGTAGCATTCGTGATGTACTTGAACCGCATACCAAAAATTATTTGAGCTATTATTGAACTAATTTTTGCAGCATTGGAGCATGAGCTTGAAAAGTTTGAATTATGGATCATTAAAATCTTTCCCAGCTCATTTTTATGTCCATAATAAGAAAATTTTTGATGATTTTATGAATAAGTAAAAAATTTGGAAGGTAAAATGATTAATTGATTAGCTGACCAAAAAACTAAGAAGCATGCGACAAATCGATTAGAATTCACAATAGGAAATGACCTTGAAAATTTAATGGAATTAATTTGATATTTTTTTAGTTTTGCGTCAAAAATTTGCATCAATTTGAATATTTTCGGAAGTAAATTTGGTTAACATGCAAATTAAGCTTGGGGGTCGTTCACTTATGACGTCCGAAATTAACGGTCATTTTACAAAAAAAAAACAATGGATTTCCTGGAATTTCTATTGTTCTTGCTGACCTTCCAACCCCCCCCCCCCCCCCCCCCCCCCTAGACGTCATAAAAGAACGGCCCTTTGCAGATGCAGTGAACTTCGTGATAAATAGTGAGGAATTGATTTTGGATTGGTTTTGAAACCTTATTAGATTTATTTGGTATAGATTCAGTCAAGATTCTACTGATTTCTCAAAAATTTGTTCAAATACAAAGGAATGAATGAATCTAACTCAAATAATCTATAAGAATGCCACAGCATCTGCATCCAACTTGTTTTCACTTTCCTTCTGTGAAACTTAATACATTAACTCGAATTTTACACAAAAGATTGCAAAAACAAAACAGAAACGCAAAATAAGCACAACAGAAACAAAAGAAGTAAAATCAACGCACAGCAGAGAATCGCTAATTGCGTTAATAACTGAATCATTGCAACAACATCGACTAAGGTTAACATAACATTGAACTTCTTCAAGAACTCATGAAACTGAAACTAAGAGTTAAAGACAGCTGCTTTTATCTTAATATTGACAATGTCGGATTTTTCAGAACTGGTTCTTGATAATTCTGAGATCAATAATTGTGAATCAAGTGCTAAAAGCTCTGCATTACTATGAACCAACATAATTCAATGTCAAAAGTATATATTAAGAAGTTTAATGTACTTAAAGAAGTTGAACAAGAATGAGAAGGAATCAATGACTCTATTGGTGTTGCTAACAAGATTTTTGCCTAAGTTTAAGAGCAGGCAAGATGGTCTAAAGCTTTGTAATACTTAATATTATTTAAAGTATCCTTTAAAAAGTTGAATATCCATTTAATAGACCTCATATTGTAATGAACCTCCAAAAACAAAAGATGTAATCATCATAATTAACAGCCATCAAACCATTACATGATCACCATCTAATTATTCAATTTATTCAATTTTCGCAAACTTGATTTCATCACTAAGCAAACTCTAAGACTCAATCACACATAATTGTTCGTAAACAACACCCATGAGCACATGTCACTTGCAAAAAAAATATTGAAAGCAAATATTGCTTTTTGTCTCACAATTATTAAATGATCTTGAAAGTTTGCTAACGAGACAAAACAAGAAGATGACATGAACCTCGCATTGTTTGAATATTAATTTTGACGTGAGTTTTTAATAAGAAGTACAAACTAGTACGAAGAATATGATTGTTTTTTCAGCGAAGCGGAATGCTAACATGACATTTGCTAGAAGAGCTGTCAACTGTTATTGCAGACTTAATTTGTAGTTCATGTCTTTATAAAGTCTTAAGTTTTAGTGTTATCTGGAAGGATCCTAAGGCTACTCAGGATTTACTTGTTATTTTAATCCAGGGGTTGGTTTCTAGTCTTAACTGGGTTGACTTAAAGCTGTGTTGGTTCCTCTATTGATAGAACAAAGACTATCAAAGCTGGTGTGACACTCGCATGGTGCTGGATTTAAATCAAAACTAGCACCATACTAGAGTCATGCCGGCTGGGCTCCAGATTTCAATTCGATTAACCTACTTGTGCCACTCGGGCTACTGTATGTTAAATCTAAGAGAGAAATCAAAAACTGAATGAAAATTTTTGGCGCCAAATTTATATTCTAAATGATACTTTATAATCTTTTAATCTATCCCAGGGATGGCAAACAGAAACCGTTACATTGGAAAAACTTTGAATTGACACTAACACTATCAAACATTGTTCAAAAATAAACATTGAATTTGTTTGTTGAAAATTGCCTTAATTACAACTAAGTCTTTGTTTAGGATTTGATTAAAAGCTTGATTAAGCATTATTCGTTATGATTTACTTATCTGGAGCCAGTTTAGACAGTCAATTAACTGATAAAATGTGAATTTTCCAAAAAAATATATTTTTATGGCGTGCGTTTAGAAATTCAAATTTTGAAATTTAACGAGATATTAAGCTACTTTTTGATTTCTAAACCCAGAAATAAGGACCGTCTGCCACCCCTGGACTCTATCTTATCTAGATACTAGTTACAAACTCTAAATTAACAAGATCTAATCAACTCAGACACTTTTCTAGATCCTTCATACAAACAACAATGAGAAAATCATGTAAAAAAGATGATTAAACAGATATAAAGAATTTAATGAGAAGGAAGTCAAACAGAATGAATATTTGATTAAATAACATCAATACCCAGTAATAATCTACAGTAATCATCAGATTATGCAATAAAAATTGTGGGAAAAAAAATCAAAATTGAATCGATATTTTTTAAAAATCCGGTCTAGATTCAATTATTAATCAATCTCGATATACTTTGGAAAGTTCCACATAGAAAATAAACTCAGGGGCGACTGATCATAAAATTTTCATAGCAAAATCAATATTTTGATATTTTATATTAAATATTTCTATGCAATGCAGCAACACAGTTCTTGCAATAATATTTCATTAGCTATCAAAAACTAGAAATGAAATTAAAAATAAGAATCTTGTCCCTTGAGCTATAAAAATTCATCATTTTTTTTCTGCATCAGTGGCAATCACTTCTGTCTGCCAAATATAGTTTCAGAAAAAAAAAATGGGAAAAGGAAAAGCATTTTTGATGCAGGAAATTGGAAAAAATTTGTTAACGAGCTTGGCGATAAAAATTTATTACGGTTTATTGACCGATGACTATTTGATAAACTTCTGGATGTCCTCTTTGGTTGAATATTTTGTAAAAATAAGTTTGATGTTATTAAAATGAACAGATTCGATTTGTGTGTCAATGCTCAAGGCAGTTTTGAAGTTTAAAAACATTTTTGATTCTTAAATTAATGGAATTAAATCTTGATTGATATAACTTTTGAATCTTGTATGAAAATAAAAAATAAAAGTTTAAATATCTAACCTCAATCTCTGGAATTCCAGATCTCAACCATGGTCGAAGATGATGAAGAGATCCTTTCAAACATTCAACTAAAGCTGGATCTGCTGACCGACATTGTTTGATATATGGAGCTGAAAATAAAATAAAAACGAAAGGAATTTCAAATTAATTAAAACTTCATACAGCACACGTCGGCGACAAACTTTCAGTTTGAAACATATAAATTTAAAAATTATAATTTCTGTGGCTTTGCAATCCGCATGAAAATAATTTATGAATTTCAATTTAACATCATCACTATCTGACCACAAACAGTATATATTGTCGTTGCTGCTTTCTGCACTCCACCAAAATGCCGCATTTTCAATTCATTTTAATGCTTCTGCTCATCTTTATCACGTCATCAACATTATTCAATCTATAAAAATGTGAATATATTTCATGCCGATTGAATTGTTCGTTTGATTCAATGAAAGATGCCAATTTTGGGTAAGAGAACTGCAATATGATATTACCGGGAGTGAGTACCTAACATGATGCAACACAATGATGCCAATTTTGACAATTCAATGAAATATTTTCGGACATTGTGCATTTGTCATGAAGCTGCTCATGGTAATGAAACGTGATTTCTTTTGTGGATTTGAATTTTATTTCGATGATTTCTCAATTTTTCAGAATAGCTTTAAATAGATTTGAATACTGTTGTTCTGAAGTTGTTGAAGAGCTCGTTACAACCTCGTTACAAGCTTAAGGATATTGGTGAATATTGGCTTAACATTCAATCATAATGGGAGATTTGGAACCTACGGCACTTTTATTTTGAGTCTGAAAAACTTCATTGCTAGCAATCAAAAGTCATGAGTCTATTTGCAGACATAAGCTCTTTATCAGCTATTTAAAAAAAACCCTTTTGGTTATCGAATTGAATAGGGGTCGTTCACTTATGACGTCCAACATTAAAGAGGAAGGGGGTAAGGAAATTTGTGACATCCAATTTTTTTTTGTGTCTATGATTGGACGGCACAAGAGGTAGGTCACAGTTTTGTGATAGAGGGGAGGTCTAAAAATTAAGTCTTTTTATGGACATCATAAGTGAACGGCCCCATAGATCATAATTTAGAGTTCGCTTAAAAGGAGTAGGTACTGTGATCGCTGATCTGTTGTACCATCTTGGTTATGGAAGCATTGCATACTAAATAAAATACCATGAACCACAAAATGAATCTAGCAAATTCGTCAATTAAGATTCAATGCTTTGTGATTACAGCTTTTAAGATGTGCAGTCAAGAAAACGTAGCAAACTCAGTACTGTAACAGGCAACGAGTGTTTTCAGTGAAAAAGCATCATGCTCAATGGCAATATCACTGTTCTTTACTATTGAACAAGGATGCAGCCAGGGAGATCGGGGAATCCGGAGTCTGACTCGAAGCTGACCAAATGTCAAGTGCATACCTTCTCGTGGTATCCCGTGATGCCACTAAATTCACCACTGGCAACCTAGCAAAGTGCTGAGATAATTACGGTTAAGATCTATCCTTAGTAGCCTATTCAAACAACCTCGCCGATTTGACCTGCCTGAAATTTACAACCAGCCATTTCCAAAATCAACGTGTACAAAGAAAGAGACAAAATGTAGCCAAGGGGATAGTTTGGGGAAAGGATGTGAAACTGATCAAAATAATCAAAAAGAGAATGATTAGTTCCGATAATTTCGGGTTAGCCATTTATAGCAGAAGATATACTTAATGGCACACTAGTCTACATTCTCAGGTGTGTCACTAAGCACATTTTCAGACCTACTTCTATTAATTAGAGTCTAAAGTTATGTTTTCTATACAACATATGAGTCTACTTTTGCTATTGGTCTAGATCTATAAGAATCAAGCTTCAATTTTCAATACATCAAAAAAATTAATTATGCAATTCATTAAAGACAGTAGTTGCTACATTAGCATAAGCTATGCTCTTATTTAAATGAATTTTTTAATAATATTTTAACCATCCAGTGCTGATAAAAAAAGAGCTTCTCTCACATATTTTTTCAGGACAGCATTTATGGTGACCGATGACATATCACAAGTTAATTAATTTTATGTTGTCATGTGATACGAGCATGAAAAAGAATTTCTCATATAATAAAAACTTTACATATATAAATATTTTTTTTTTATTCATAGGACATGAGAGGAGGATGATATGGACATAAATGACAACAATGGTACAACAAACATATAGTGTGAGAGCCAAAGAACGGATGATTGTGATATCAAAATTAATCAAAATGTTTAAACATCAGAGACAATTGTGATTTTTGCATAAATTTACATTGCATATATTGCACATGTTGTGCAAATATTATGCTCCATAAATTCTGCCGCCGTTTGCATATTATGATGTGAGTGAATGAGTCAATGTATATATATATTTATATGAACAGCCCCGGCTAGTCACTAGCACCGAGTAAAGAGTTCATTAATCTTTCAAAATATATACATGTATATGCACAAATTTTGTACATTCATAGAGATCTATCCGACATTTAAAAGCTAAAGTCTTTTTTAATAGTAGAAATATGCACAACATAACGCGCCACTCAGTGCCTCTCTGAAGTCAATTAAAAACATATTAAATCAATGGCAAGTGGCAAAAGCATATCAGTTGTTGTACATATCGCATGTGTAGGTTAGTTATGGCACGAGAGATGAAATAAAATAAAAATGGAAATACACTTTTTTTTTGCTACTGCTGCATGCTGCAACGCACATGAATGATTGTGTAAATATTAAATTGTACGGGAGAAGTAGGAGATGATGGGAATTTGAAGGTTGGTCAGTTGAGCGCTTTTTGGTTTTTTATTTAGTCAACAATTAGGATAGGAATCTGGAAGTGAGAGCTAGAACCAGTTTTTAGAGCTCCTTGAGATCCTCTATTCATTCTTAGTCACAGTCAAACTTTAATGGTGCCTTAATATGGTACATCGATTCTTTATTCGAGTTAGAAACTCGTATATCCTCACAATGCTAGGTTAGAGCTGTTATCAGCACTGGTGGTAAAGTACTTATGTGTGCTGTCTATGTTTTGAGCCTTGATACTGTTGACGTTACTCAGAAACAACAGAACCTTAGTTTGAAATCTTTTGTAACAATTCCTTAAGATCTTTTGTGCATACATGCTAAGTTTAAGAATGAAAATGAAGGAATAGACTTGGTACAGGACCGGTAAGGGGCTCTTAGGGTCAAATATCATCGAATTGTACCTGTTGTCATTTGTATAATCGAACAGTGTTAATACCTAGCACTTGACTTTAAAAAGGTGGACTTAAGCTCAGGCAATATGAAGTCAAACGCACAAGCCTTTGCCTTAGTCAATGGCAATTTTTGGCCTTTTTTGTGCCATTAAATAGGCATGACTTTGCTAGATCAAAGGCAAAATCTGGTCAATGGCAACACTGCAATTGAACCTTTATTATGTCACATAGATGTATACCTCAAGTGGCACCACATAGGAGGTAAGAACATCTCTACGTCATCATTTTGGTACCAAAACGACAAAATTATGTAAAAGAGACCTAATTGCACAGAAAGGCTTTTATCAATCCATTTTGTGGACAATAATTAATAAAGATTTGTCTTGATGTGCTTACTATTCATTAAAATAGTATTAAACTAAGGAATTAAAATAAATTAAAATCCAGTCCAAAATGACAACCATAATATCCACTAATTCTGCTACAATCGATAGTAGCTACTAATGCTAATATAGCAAAACACTCTCAATTTCAATATACTATATATGAAGTGGAAATATTAGGAAATAAACATGAAAATGTCTAACATGAATAGCCACGGCAGTATTTTTTTCTTCATGTTCATTTTCATCAGAATCAAGTTTTGCAACAAAAAAAAAAAGATATTCATGTCATTAAACTTTAGCTGCATTCGATGCTGATATTGATTTTTACGATTTTTCTTCTCATTTCTGCTGTTGCTGCTACATCCATGTAAAAGAAATATTTATATTTTTTTTCTCTTCGAGCATAGTTCAGTCGAGTTTTTTTGCTTTGTCAAAAAAAATCATTTAGACTATTGCATGTAGTTGGGGGATCGTTCATAAATGATGTTTAATGCAATTTTGAATGGTTTTTGTGATCAAATTGATTAACAAAAGCTGGTTTTTGGGGTTGGCTGGGGTATGTTACCATGTTTGTAGTCAAATTTTATTGATATCTCAGAGCAGTGATGGTCAACCCAAGTGCCGCGGCACATTTGAGTCGAGAAAGCCCTCGAACCGTTTGCATGCGTGGTTTTGGTCATGGTTAACCGCAAAAATGTGCCGTGCCACAAAAAGGTTGTCCACTACTGGCCTAAAGCATAGCACATTTTAACTCGTAAGGCAAGCAAATCCGGTTAGCCTAGGGTGACCATCTAATTTTTATGAAAATACAGGACATTTGACAAATTTCCCAAAAAATACAGGACACAAAGGAAAATTTGAAAATTAACGGAAATTTTCGTGAAAAAAATACAGGACCGTGAACAAAATTTTCAAATTTATACAGGACAGGGTTTTGAAATACAGGACTGTCCGTTGTAAAACTACGCAGATGGTCACCCTAGGTTAGCCTCAAAAACCGGTGACTGATCAGTAAAAATTCGAGAATTCAATGGTCAGGCATCAGTTGTAATAACCTAAAGATCAGGTCCGTGTTTCACTCAGCTTTTACATGCAAACAGAACTTTAGAACTGGTTCCATTCGTGTTTATGTTCTGCCGTTTACATGGTTCCATGGAGCTAGTTTCTTTTGCTGTTTTGAGGACCGAGGACCCGATATTTACCACTTTTTTTTTCAAATTATATATCAAAGAGTATCAACGAAGACTGTGATTAGATTAAGATATCCTAAGAAGCCATAGGAACTTGGCTTCTGGCTAAGACATCGTATTTTTGACAGAACGGGATCTTAAATGTTCAGCAGCAGTGTTTACATTAAGCAATTTGCCTTATCCAGCTAGGATTTAAATCTAGAACACCAAAAAGACATTGGATTGCCTAAAGCAAACAAAATGACTGTGAAAGTTCTATTTTCTGTTAGGGACCGTTCAATTATGACACCAGGGGAGGGGGGGTCAGCAAGAAAATAACAAAAGAAATTCCTGGAAATCTATTGTTCTTTTTTGAAAAATGACCGTTAATTTAGGACGTCATAATTGAACGGCCCCTTATGTCCAGTTGAGAAACCTTTCAGTCTAGACACAAATGACTAGACGTGACTTACTAACGACCCGTATGTTAAAAGCATAATCCATATGAATGAAATATTGCGACATACAACCATTGAGACATTGTGCCAATTTTTTTTTCCTTCTATTCTTTTTCAACTATGTCTGTGACTCATTCTCTTTATCTCTTTCTCTCTCTCTCTCTATTGCGATTGCAAATGATTTTTTTTCCATGTCGTTTAATTTCAGTCAGAAAAAAATTAAATGCTCGACCTGAAAACTGGAAATGCTTAATTTTGCAATGTTTGAGAAAAATGTAAATAAAGCAATTTTAAGCATGCATATGAATGTTTACCTTTGATGTTCGAAATTGTAGATTTTTTTTTTTTGGGAACATTTGAGAAAGAAAATGCTCGTGGATTAAAGGCTTTAAATATTAAATTAAAATTCCAATTTGGAATATTAATTGCTTAGTATTGAAGCATTTAAGCAGTTTTTTGAAGATGCAAGCTTAATAAAGAAAGGAACTGAGACATCTTCGAATTCTGGTTAAGTCAAAGCAATCATTTAAAGTTCAATCCACGCAGCTTACGAGCCACGCACACTTCCCAACACCCAGCAATAAAAATCAGTATAAAGTAATTAATATTCATCCTCTTAACTGTGTACGCATTGCATACTTGATTTATTGAATGTGGCGAGAACTATTTTAAGCTTTACATAAAGACTAAAGATTGAGTGTCAATAAATTATCAGACAGTATCGATGTGTCGTGCAGAGCGATGACCTAGAGACTTGTAAAAATCGGATACAAATATTCAAGCGGAAGTAAAAAACGCATTAAGTGGATATACAATCATGAATAAATCAATTTTCTCTAGCCGATAATGTTCTTTACGCATAGATGTACTTAAGGTTCAAGTTGTAAGTCAATTTTGAAGGTAAATTAAGTAACTGATCGTGAAGGTTATTCTCATATTAAGTACATCAGCTGATTTCTTATGCTAAGTTCATTCTTAATGACAGATCTTGATTATAAAATCACAAAGGGGATAACAGCATGATGGAAAAAAAGATTAGGTTAGAAATTCTTCACAAATTTGTTTTTTGAATTGTTAAAAAGTTTCCCGCCAAATTCTAAAAGCAATGAAAAATTTGAATTCCTCATTATGTTGTTATCCCCCTTTGATAAAATCATCCGTCACTAAATGTTTTGACTTTGAAGCATTTAAGAAATATGAGATGTGAGCATAGCAATTAACTGGAAGTTCTCATTGTACAAGAGCACATCAAACAAGTTGTTTTGATTTTCTTATGATGTGTGAAGCTTATTATTATTGAGAATGGTCATGACTCATGAGAATTGAGATTTTGGAATTTTTGTTTTGTTTACATTCTTCTTTTTTGCTCGGAGAGTCAACAGCAAATGTGGAATAAGCGAGTGTTTGTATAGGTAAATCATCCGTGGATGCCTGTTGAATATTATGTTGAGAAGTTAACAGAAAGAAGAATGAGAATTTTCTAGAAGAAATTAGGCAATGGCTATGAAATAGATTTTAAACTTAGTCTTTGTGAATTTTTGAAAATTCTGGAAGTTTTGTGGAATTTAGCTTGACTACAGCTCCAAGAACTATAACTAGCTTAGTAAAGTTTTTACTTGTACTCTTTTGAATTCAAGAGTAGCTTTCTTGTTTAAGACTAGAAATCGGCTCCTTCTATGCCAAAAATCCACTACATTGTTTACCAACTTATCTAGTTATTCTTCTTTATTCACTTATTTAATGTAAATTTACATGTTTTTTAAGACAGAGAAACCTTAAACCGACTTGAACCTTATATAACATTAACCATAGTCTTATTAAAGAGAACATAAGCCTTAGCTCGACTGAACTCCTTACTTTCTAGTTTAAACTCAACTTTAGACAACTTAATCCTCAAATTATCGATCAACTATCAACAGAAACTATTCTAAAGCTATTAATCTAAGAAAAAGAGAATTATATTCTTCTTAATTGTTCCGTCGAACAGAAATGGCACTTAATCCTATAATCCAGATGGACAACATTAACATTGCTATTCATAATTAACATTGCCAACACTCAATTCTGTAGAAAAACTAATAAATCGATTCTAAGAGGATTAAAGCGAACCACTGAAATGTCTGATGTTGTTGACAAAATTTAATTCTTAGGTCAAACAGCCACAAAGATTTAAAAACAATTTTTCTTCTCGTTTCTAAGCTTCCGGCTGAAAATTATTATTTAATAAGAATGCACGATTTAATCAAGTTAATCTACTAGAGATTTTAATAACTTCACGTGAACAACAATTTAACAATTGACCCAGTGTGACTCTAAAGACAATTGAGGGAATTAATTAGTTCTGTGGAATATTGAAGAAGTTTTAAGATGCTTATAGTTTGATAGTTCTGCAAGGTCTTTAAAAGAATGTTTTGTAGAAGAGAATTTGCTTAAATGATAGATTGGAACTTAATAAAAATGTTTTGAGGATGTTTTGATACAGATTGATCACAACCTTCATCAATAGTCATCTTTTAAACATTAAAATGAAGTACAAAGCATTTTCAAGCATTAAGTTCTGTTAATTGATTACCACAAAGTCAATTTGGTGCATAAATGCTTCATTTGAACAATTATTGATGGTTCTTGAAAATCAATTCAATTTAAAGAAACTACAAAATTTAAAATGAACCAAATCACAAAGTCAAGATGGAAGAACTTGATGTTTTGATGATGTCTTCCTGATTCCAAAATACAGGAAGACAACCAATAAATTAATAATACAACCAATAAAGATCTAAATGATCGCGTAAAACCACTAATTCTTCTAACAATTTCACAAAAACTTCAAAATAACATAAAACTCAGTCCGAAAGTAAAAACAGCAACTTACAAGCTTTAAATGGAAGTTAAATTAATATCAAATTACAAGATCGCTCAAATTTCGTAGCTTTTTAAAAGTTTTCAAAGGTTCCAAAGCCTTGCATTAAGTTGCTAATAGTAAAGTTTATGATTAATAAAATATTAAAGCTTGAGGTGTTTGAAATTGCCAAACCAATCTTCATCTACAACTTTACACAAAACTCTTTAAAATGTTGTTTGCTAAATTTTGTATTTTAAAGAGCTAATCATTGAATTTGCAGCATAAAAATATTTTTTCAACTTGCAAAGCCACATAAAAAGTTGTAAATTTGGTTTTTTTACATGAATATGCTTGTGAAAATTTTCATTTGTTTAAACCTTTTTAAGAGTTTTTATGTATTTTGAATTTTGTTAAGATTTTATATTTATAATTTTTTATTTTATTTTATTGAATTAAAAAAATGATCTTTTAAATCTTAACATTGACTTTACAGCAAAAAAATTAATTTCGAGTTTTAAAAATCAACTTTTCAATTTTTGAATTTCGAACCGTCACATTTTTTGTTGAAATTTGCAAAAATCTTAAGTTTTGCAACATTAAACTTTTGCCATTCAAAATCATTTTAAATTTTTTTAAAATTTAAAAAATTGAATTATCAAATTTAATAAATTTTAACTTTAATATATTAAAATTCATAATTTTATGAAATTAAAATCAAAGTAAAAACTTACGAAGTTCTGTCTGTGCAGTCACAAAAAGCATAAAGCTTGAAAATATTAAACACTTCAACATGATTTTTAATTTATTTTTATAATTTTTATCACAAGACTTTTTTTAAGTTTAAATTCCTAAAATTTAAGTTTTCACGTTCACAACTTTATTTTTTATTTACTTCAGATTGTAAGTTTTAGGTCTTAACGTCTCCGCGTCTTGTGTGTTACTACTTCTGACTTCTCCTACGATTAGTTTTAAGACTGATCAACAACATTGGGGCTGTTTTGTTGAGTTGTTGCACTTTGAGCACGTTCGTTTCTTCTCTCCACTTCTTCTATTTTTTTTATGTCTCAATCTCAAGTATATGGTTAATATTTCTTATGATTTTTCGACCTTGCAAGTGACTTTTTAATTTTTTTTTACATATTTTTCATGAGACTGTCAATCGCTTCTTTTTGATCGTCGTTAGAAAAAAAATTGCAAGAAATAATTGACGTGGATCGATTACAACTTTTTTTAATGACATTCTTCTCAATAATCTTATTAAAAGTTGCGTTTAGGGGTCGTTCATAAATGAAGGGTAAATGAAATTGTTGATTTTAAGAACCCGCCTCCTTCCTTTGGCTTTGAATCTTCAACTTAAAAAACTCATGACATCAAATAATAATTAAACATCATTTACGCATAATCCCCATTAGCATTTGCCTCATAATTAACATACAAGGCACTTTTAATATAGAATTTGTGCAAATCGAACGAACCGGAGTCAATATTTGCATTTGTGTGAGAAAATATTTACAAATTTGAGTAATTAAATATGACGAGAGATGTTTTGGAATTTTTAATTATATGGATTTATGATAATGAGCGAAGAATCTGCGGTTTTTTGGGTTTATCTGACTCTCTATATATTGATTATTTATCAGGAAGAAATTCGTTGATTTTAATAAATTTCATGTACTTAAAATCTAGTTCATCAAAATTTGGTTCGTAAAAATCTAGTCCATCAAAAAAGGTTACTTAAAAATCTAGTCCTTCAATGCTAGCTTCTTAAAAATCTAGTGCATCAAAATAAGGTTCACAAAAGTTTACTTCATCAAAATTAGGTTCCTAATAATCTAGTTCATCAAAATTAGGTGCATAAAAATCTAGTACATTAAAACTAGGTTTTTTTAAAAATCTAGTCCACCGACAATAGATTCGCAAAATTCTAGTCCATCAAAATAATATTAAAAATCTAGTCCATCAAAATCAGGTTCATACAAATCTAGTCCATCAAAAGTGGTTCATACAAATCTAGTCTATCAAAAGTGGTACATAAAAATCTAATCCATCAAAATAAGGCTCCTAAAAATCTAGTCCACCAACAATAGATTCGTAAAAATCTACTACATCAAAATTAGGTCCATAAAAATCTAGTCCACCAAAAAACAAAATTTATAAGCTGGTCCAAAAATCCAAACCATCGAATAAAGATCGTAAAAACTGAGATTATAGATTTTAAAAACGTCAATTTCAAAAAACAAAAAACTTAGAAATCGAAGTTAAAAAATTTCAAAATTTCCTCCCATTAATCTAGAAAAAAAGTGGTTTAAAAATGTAATTTTCTAATGATAAATTGCTTACAATCACGTGAAACTTCCACACATATCTCGAAAAAGTATTCATTACTAGCTAATAAAAATGAACTTGAACTGTAATGGTAAATAAAATTGCAAATGCGAGATGATTTCGCAAAAGAGATTTTTGTTTGTGCATTAATTGCAATTGCAAGATATAACTGGGTAAATAATATATTGGACGATGGAAGGTTAGGTGGTTAGTGAAACTGTGAATTTAGAGTGAATGTGTGGTTGGCTGGAGCATGCTCAATATCGCTGCACAGTAAACAATTTCCAAAAATGGAAGTGAATTTTGTTAAAATAAATTGATTAATGAGTATGATATTAAGGAAATGTCCTAAAGATAACCGTTATTGTATTAAATAGCATTTCATAACAGCATTATCAAGTTTCAATGTCAAGGATTTTTTAACACAATAAAGTGATTTTTTTTTTCTCGTCCAATTAGTTCAATGAACAACTTAAATTGTATGGATATAATATCTTAAGAAGTAAGACTTCACTATAAGTAATAAAAAATTCATATCTCGTCATTTTGCTGATTTGATGCAAGACAACAAGCAAAACTATATCATTATTATTGACGATGTAAACGTGAATATAGCATTGTAAGATTATTTCGTTGTTACTTGTGCAGGAAATCTGGGGTATGGAATTTATTGGTGTATTGACAGAGAACGAAACTTTATGGTATTGATGACATTGTTTGTTTTGAAACTACAGACTTCCAAAATTGATGAACATGCAAAAAATATTTGAAAAATAACTGTCAAGAAATATTTGAAAAATAACTGTCACAAATTATTTGAAAAATAACAGTCACAAATTATTCGAAAAAGACAGTAAAAAATTTCAAATTCAAAAATAACGTCCTAAAATTTTAAAGTCAAGTGACATAACATCACAGCACATCACAGCTGCAAAAAAAGTCAATGAACCGAAACCGATAAAATTAGCATAAAGTAAACAAAAGTATAACAAAATTTTATTTCAATGCTTTCATCTTAAAATCTATATGAATAAAAAAACTTGATGTTACTTCCTTAGTTTGAATTATGATTGGATGAGTAATAAATTCTAACATTTTGAGGTATTTGGATAGAAAAAAAGATGACAAAGAGACAACAAAAACTAATGTCTATCACAAATTTCCTTATGGATTTAATTAACACTTTTGTCGGTTTTATCGGAACTAGACGAGGCTGGATCGAAACCTCCATTCATTCTAATCAGCGGAACTACAATTTTGCACGTCTTTAAGTCAATATTATTCAGATTCGGTTCTTCACACCTCTGTCCTTCCTTTTGTTCCTTATCACCATTCATTTCCTTATCGACATTCTTATTCCAATGCGAGCAGCAAGGCTTATTCTCATCCGTACTCGATTCACTCATTTTCTGCAATTTTGGACTTGCCGGTGACACATTGTCATCCTTGAAGGGTGACTTGAATAATTCCGTCAATGATACTTCTGAAATGTCACTTTCACTTGCAAGCCGCTTCCTCGGTGAACTTTTATTCAAACTAGTCTCTAAGGCACTAAAATCAAACACTTTTGTGTCTTTAAAACGAGGCTTTTCATGGACAATGCCATCAATAATGTAATATTCAGTTTCAGTCTTGGTCAGTGATTGTAAGAAATCAGATTTTGCTTCACAAATTAACTTCTTGCTCTTTAGTCGCATAAATCTTATGCCTTTTTGAGTTATACGGACGTAGTCATCACGTGTTATTCCTCCCCATAATTCAATGATGTTTTCATTGCTTCGCACGGCTGTATATCGATCTACGAACAGTTTCTTCTTCACAATCTTCAAAATGCTGCTCCACCAATTTTTGGACTTACTTGCGCCCCACGAGAAATATTCAACAGGATGTTTTGGATTAAATTCCGTCGGCATTGTGCCGGTTATAAAATCAACGAGCATTTCATGTTTACATTTTCCTTGATATGAATTTATGAGATTCAAGATCATCCGAACATCATTGGTGACATCGATTTGGTCATTGGAATAAATTTCTTTGTACATATTTTTAAGACCGACTGCTTGGTGAAGTGTTCTTAAGCAATTATCACAACAGGACTCAGTAACAACTGAAGGAATGAATTCTTCGAGATAGCTAAGTAACGTTGCACGTCTGCATCTTGTGACTGTTGAATATTTCTGCATTTTGGCTAGCTGAATTTGGCAGTTGTTGAAGTTTTGATTTGAAAATGGCTTCTTTTTGTTATTTTCTTTAAAGCAAAAATTGTGGAACTTATAGTCCTTTTCACTCCAGAATATAACTGATTTTGCAGGCAACTCGTCTCTTCCAGCTCTGCCAGATTCCTGTTAAATCGTTAAAATTGAGATCAAGTTTTTTGCGGTTTTTATAAATTCAAAGTTTTTAACGGTTTTGTAAAATTCAAATTTGTAGCGGTGTTGTAAAATTCAAAATTTACAAGACAGTTAAAATTTCAAATCTTTAAAATCTGGTAAAAGCCAGTTTATCTAAAACCTTCAACTAATAAATATTCAAGCACTTTTAAGCATAACGTGACACAACTCACCACATAATAAGTCTCAGGATTTTTTGGTATACCATAATGAATAACAACGCGAACATTAGGTCGATCAACTCCCATCCCAAATGCATTTGTAGTAACAATATAATTAAGTCTACCGTTCATAAAGTCTCGAAGTGTCTCCCTACGAATCTCTTCAACTAAGCCTGCATGATATGGTTTTGATGGAAAGCCTTCACGTGTTAAAATATCTGAATAGTTTTGTGTGTCAGCCCTTTTGAAGCAATAGACAATAACGCCAGATCCCATGGGTAGATCCAAAATGTATCGTTTAACATCAGAAATGAAGCAATTAGTTTGTGGAATGCATGTATATTCGATATTTGGACGATCTAATGGCACTTGAATCATTAATGGACTTTTGAGTGACAGCACATTGCAAATGTCAGCTGTTGTGTCTTTTGATGCTGTTGATGTCAATGCGACTATAGGAATTGTTGGGAAATTATTTTTAATACATTTTAAAAGTGCATAAGCAGGACGATGATCAGATGATGATTTTGAGATACAGTGAACCTCATCAATGGCAATAAGACAGATCTCATCATTGTCTGCTGCCCATTTGATGATTCCTCTAATGACTGCAAAATTTTCGGGTGTTGAATAAATTACAGTATAGTTCTCAAGATTAAGACCAATATTCTTTTGTTGACCACTTATAAAACATGCCGAGATTCCGAGACTTTTCAACATTTGAACTTGCGTTTCCATCAAGCTTATTAATGGTGAAATTACGATTGCTTTTTTGCCTAAGAATACTGGTGGAAACTGATAGATTAATGACTTTCCATAGCCACTTCTAGTGGATATAAAGACATCTTCCTTTTTATACATTAATTGTGAAATTGCTTTCCATTGTTCTTCCTTAAAATTGTCAATTTGAAAATTACTTTTGAGAATCTGCAATGAAATCAATTAAAATTAGCTTTTCGGACACGATAGATTGATTCTTTATTACCTTAAGATGATCCTCACTAGGATGTTCATGAATATCCTCAACTACTTCCATGTTAATTTAATTAAATGATGTTTTTACCAAAAAAATATTAAAAAATTCCGCAATTTTTTTATGAAATTTTCAAATTTTCTGCGACAGTTAATTTTTTCGCGCATCTTTTTGCTGTTTTTTTAAATTTTCAGTGACTGTTAATTTTTGTGTAATTTTCAAATTTTTCCAGGCGTTATGAAATTTTCAGAAGATGTCGCTGATTCCAAATCTCAAAAAACCGTTTAATAATGAGCATTTTTTATGATTTTCTTATCAACACGTGGTGTCATCAATTTAATTCCTTTTCTCTCAAATCCTCTCCTAACTCAATTCTCACAGCTTAATTTACTTAATCATGCCATGCTCATTTTGAAAATGTCTTTTAAATCGTTCAGATTGATTTTTTTATTAATCAGTGTCTTAAATTTAATTGCGTTGGGATTAGCTAATAGTGAGCAGTGCTTTTACGTTTATATTTGCTGTCAACGACATCCGGAGACCTACGCTTGTTTAGAATACTGTCAACCGTCTTTTGAGTGTGGAAATCATTTGGTTGAGTCTAATGACGATAATTTGAGTGAGAACGAACAATTAAGTACAACAACAGAAGAAACAAGAAGTACAGTAGAAAATTTTATAGCTACAACTGACGAATCAGCTCCAAAAGATCCAGTAGATCCAGTTGAAAGTGAATCAACAACATTAAAGACTGAAACTCAGACAGGAAAGGATACGCACGTGATTGATACTAAATTGTGTCGAATAGGAATGAGATTAGTGGCTGGAAGGTGCAAACGAGTGTTTTAAGAACAATGTCAATTAAATTTATATTAATTATACTTACAACCTACCTCACTTTATGTCTATGCAGCACAAGTTGCATATGGACATATCGATGTTGTGAATTTAAGCAAAATGGACTAAATATTGAGTGCGTAAGGATGTGTGAGGCACAGATCAACTGTGAATTGACTACCACAACTGAATCTTATGAAGGCGATGCAGAAAATCTTGAAAGTGGGGAATCATCAGTTCCAAAACCGTTGGATTTGCGGTACTTAAGGAGAAATTGTAAGGCTGGATATAGATTTGTTAGTGGAAAGTGCAGGATGGTGATGAGATTGCAGGATACACACACGGACGCTCAATTGGATTGATTTATGATTAAATGTTCAGGATAAAAAATCTATTAATTCTAGGAATTTAAATGTATGTTTTGTAACGGTTTTTTAAGATTTGAATTTTTAAAACATTTGTATGGTTTTTTTTAACAAATTTGAATTAAAACTGACAGTTGAAAATTTAAATCTCTTAAATCGTTTTTAATACTATATTGATGAATTTCAATTATAAGTTTATAAAAAAAATCACCTTCATTTATTATGATAACCTATTGCACCTCAATAAAATAACTTTATTAAAAGACAAATTGATAATAGAGCAAACAAAATAACACACTTTTTACGACCTTTTCCTTCCGATACTTTTTTTTTAAAGAGAAGTTTTAAATGTTAAATTCATAATTTTTTTATAATCGAACGGTTTTCTTTAATTTGAAACTTATACCTTATAAATGTTTTCAAATTTTATAAAACATTTTGAATTTTAGAAAACCGTTAAATATTTATTTATCGGAAAATAGTTTAACTAGCTTATAAAACCCCAAAAAGTTTAAATAACTCTTCTGCATTTTTGGCTATTATCTGATTTATATCCGAAACGGCACTTTGTGTTGAAAACATGAAATGAAGCTGCGGGAGCGTCCTCAAATGTCTTGCACTCAATTTCAGGTTTACACATCTCCACACAACGTCCTTCATGATGTCTACAGCACTTATATTTCCATATACAACTATTTTCATCAACCATTCCTTGAATAATGTTCAAAAAAATTAAAATAACCAGCAGTGCTAGTTGCTTCATGGTTGTTGAGTTGATTTGGTGGCAAAAACTCGTCTGCAATTTCCAAAGTTATCAAGTCGAAAGCCTGACCTGCAAACTCTATTCAAAGTCGATACTGAGAATCTTTCTGCAAATTCCTCCTTTTGAATATCTGCTTCCACTACTTCTTCCTGTATTTCTTCCTCGTTATTACAACTGACAAATTGAATTATTAAAATGATCACTATAAGTAAACTTAACAGCTTCATGTTCTCTTTTCAAATGACTTAAATCATTTAATTATTTATTTGTGTGAAAAAATGGCATTTACGTTCATTGATAACGTCTTGACCTGTGGATTATTTGAGCATTGACTTTATTGAGAGAGATTTGCGTCCAAAAATACTCTTTTATTTCATTAAAATATTTTATTTACATTCACAAAAAATAATATTCAATTCAGATTAATTTAATTCAACAATTCGGACCATGTTGTTGTTACTTTATATTGAAGTGCTTCTGGTATCCACATCAGGTATTGTTTCAGTAAATCTATAAAAATAAAAATCAACGGTTGTTGAAATTTGGAATCATTTGTATGGTTTTCAAGATTTAATAATTTAACGGATTTTTTAAAATTTGAATTGTAGCAGTTTTATGTTTTTGAAAACATTTGTATGGCTTTAAGACATTTACATTCGTATGGTTTTAATTTCAAATTCAAGAAATCCGTTAAATCTTAAAAACATTTGTAAGGTTCCAGGTCATTCAAATAATTAAAACGCGTTAAAAAATCAACTTACAATTTGAATTCTCCTTCAATTCTTTTACCAGCTTCTTTCTGCTGTCAACCTGCTTATTAGCTAATGCATTCATCATTGTCTCAGTCCTAGGAACAAGTTTAGACCAACTTTTAATCATTGTTGACGGCGTGCTTAATAAATTCTTCTTAAATTCAGCAAGCTTCTCAAAAACAGCACCTTCAAGCAAAAACTTTCCAAAATGTCGATATTTGTCAAGTGATTCAGGCATTTCCATCTCAGCAATTGGCAATTCCCATCCTGAACGTCCAAAAGTTGCTTTTACATGACAATAAATTTTATCATCATCTGAATCATAGCGCGGTTCCGGTTCCTCTAAAGTTTTTGTGAAATTACAAAGTGCCGGTGCAAATTTAAGCAGCCATTCAGGCTCAATTGCTGTAATGCCTCGAATAAACATTTTAGTGCTGTCGCCATTTCTAGTCTCGAAAATTTCCTGATAAATTACCCATTCAGGCTGCTTTTTCTTAAGAATTGAGCATGAATGCATGAAGACTGGCTCCTCAACATCCGGAATTTGATAAGCATGTTTAAACTTGTGCTTGTCTTCCTTCAATTTAATTTCATCGTCTGGAATTTTCCTTGCAACTTGATCGCCCAAACCTGACATCAGAATTTGCCTTAATAATTTTGCTTGTTGATCTGTTGGCGGTTCCATTTTTGGATTTACAGCAAGCGACAAATTAGGGACATTAAGGTTGACTTCATTAGTTAACTGAACTCTTAATTTTCTTATTTCTTGAACTCCTTTCATCCTCAATCCATTTTCATCACAAAAGTTTTGTAATTTATTCTGCGAATGAGCATATTCAGCAGCTCCAATGGCCTTTAATAAAATCATTGGATCACCAAGATATAAAGAATTTCCATTTCCAGCCCATCCACGTCTTTTTGTCCTCCATTTTGTGTCTTTTTCACCATTTTCTCCAGATAATGGAACCTCCTGAAGCACTTCCTGGACACTCAAAGCAGCAACAATACAAATTGTATATTCCAAAAGATTTTGTTGATGACTAAGTGCCAACATTTTTCCATAACGTGGATTAACAGGAAATGAAGCTATTGATGAGCCTAATTTGGTTATTTTGGATACTTCCTGATTATCTAAAGCACCAAGAATTTTAAGTCTTTTTTCAGCCACTTCAAGTTGGACACGATCAGGAGGCGATGGAAATGGAAAGTTGATGACTTTTTCAATACCCATTGCCTTCATTTGCAGCACAAGTCCATCAATTGGTTTTTCTTGAATTTCTGGTGGTGAAAATTGTACAAATTGATTGCTATAAACAGCACTAGAATAGAGACGATAACAATGTCCAGGAGCAACACGTCCAGCACGACCAGCTCGCTGATCAGCAGCTGCTTTACTTGTAAAAGTTACAACGAATGCATTTACGCCCGTAACTTTATCATAAAATTTGGTTTTTTGTCTGCCTGAATCGACGACATATTTAACATCTGGAATAGTCAATGACGTTTCAGCGACATTTGTGGATACGACACATAATCTAGTTCCTTCGGGCGGTGGCTCAAATACTCTTGCTTGCTTGTGACTGGGTAAAAGTGAATAAAGTGGAAGAACCCATAAAGGTTGTGAATTTCCAGTTCCTGTCATCATTTCATTAAGTTTCTCGTCAATTTCGTCTTGTTCCTCAAAGTTCTCATCCAGCATGTCTTGATCCTCATTGAAATCAGCTTCTGTATCATCCCCAGGCATTTGAAAGTCATCAAGATTAACTTTTGGAAGTGTCATCTGGGAAATTAAGTTTTTCTTATTTTTCTTTTGATGTTTTATTGCTTTTCTGATGTTCAGGATTTGGTCTAGTTCCTCGTCATCAGAATAATTAAGTTGTTGTTCTGATTCTGTTTTAATTTCTTCTTTTTTTGCATTTTTATTGCCGTAAAATGGAAATAATTTGCGTAATTTATTGACCAAATATTTCACTTCTTGCTGACCAGTCAAAAACACGAGAATTCCACCTTCGGGAAGTTTTGTATGAATTTTAATTGTTTTAATTAAAGCTTCTCGAGCATAATCTTCAGCTGTGACTTTATTGAAGTGAACAGTGACTGGAAATTGACGAGATTCAACATTTATTACTGGAGGCGGTTCCTTAAAAAGCTTTAAATTCTTTGTAAAGTCCTCAACTCTCAATGTTGCAGACATGATTATTAATTTTAATGGATTTCCTTTCTTATTTCTGAGCTGAATAATTCTTGAAAGTAATCCAATTAAAATGTCTGTGTAAGCGCTTCTTTCGTGAGCTTCATCGAGGATTATTACGGAATATTTTAGCAATAAAAAGTCACTTTCAACTTCCTTCAATAAGACACCGTCAGTCATGAATTTTATTTTTGTCTCTGGTGTGCAATTTCCCTCAAAACGTATTAAATAGCTGACAATATCTGTTGATAAATTCATTTCCCGACCAACACGTTTAGACATAGAAATTGCAGCAACTCTTCTCGGTTCTGTAACTCCAATAATTTTACCATTTTCAGCATATCCAGCTTCATAAAGGAATTGAGGAACCTGAGTTGTTTTACCACTTCCAGTTGATCCAGCTAAAATTATGACTGTATTTTCACTTATTGTCTCCATTATGACTTGTTCTTCTGCAATAATTGGAAGCTTTAATCTAGCTATTTGAATCTCTTGATCACGCTCAACGTGGATGTATGTTGCTGGCTTTTTTTCAACTGGAAGCTGCTTTGGGACCTCATTTGCTTTTACTGGATCTTTTGAAATTTCTACTGGATCTTTGATTTCAGCCACTGGATCTTCTGGTTCTTTAACTTCAGCTTGATCCACAACTTTTGTCTCACTTTCCTGCAATTCCTCGTCACTCTCACTCTCAGAATCACTCTGATTCACACCAATAACATTATAATCCCGAATCTTTTTCGGAACCTCCTCACTTTCACTTGAATCATCGATTGTAATTGTTCTTTTTACACCACGGACTGTACTTCCTGCTTTATCGTTTTCATTTACTGTATTTTCACTTCCTCTTTTCTCTTTCGTACCGAATTTCTGTTCATGGAAGTGCTTTTTGAGACCTTTTGTTTGTACACTTGTAAGTTTTGTGTATTGCTTTAATTCACTGGCTGGGATTTGAACACTTGCTAGGGCTTCGATCAGTGATGCTCTCTGGAATGTTATAAATTGTTAGGACTTACTTTAGTTAAGGAACTTGAGCATTTTCTTACATTTTCCTTCTTTTTCTTTTTTTCAACGATTTTTTCAAGCCTTTTTCGCTGTTTTCTTGACAAAATCTTAGTGACAGTTGCTTCTTTCCTTATTTTTGTAGCTCTTTTCTTAGATGGAAGCACTAAAAGGTTATCGTCGTCGGCTGTTGTCTTGTACTCATCCTCGTTTTTTGACTCAAAATCTAATTCAATCTAGAGAAAAGTAAACAAATTTAGAATAATTCACTTAATAATTAAAATCCTTACCTTTTTCACTTCTGTGTTGTCGATAATAGTCTCAACTTTTCGTCTACCCTTCACATTAAACCGTTTCTTGCCCATTTTATACGATAATTAATATTTTTTGTCTGTAAATTGCAAAAATATTTGTAAACAAACCAACACGTGCAAAGTTGAAACTTTCAATCAAATAAAGAAAAGCTTTGAAGCAAATACCAACAAAATTTGAATTTCAAAGAACCGTTAAATTTATTAATTTTATTCACATCAAACATCGATTAATTAATGCATTAATCTTAAGAATTAAGGTTGAAATTTCAAAATTTCATGAGTACGCTCTTTAACTGGTAAATGATCAGCTATTTCGTTAGGTGATATGAATAAAGCTGGTGGAACGTGTTTTAATTTATCATAAGTTGCTTCTCTGCTAGTGTATTCTTTAATAATATAATCTTTTCCAGTCTCCCAATGATATCTGGTATCATTCATTCGAATCATAACATTATCGACACGCAAGAAGAACCTGACAAGAATGTAAAAGCCCGACGGCATGACTCGCTACAATTTATTAAGTTCGGATTAATTTTAATCTAAATGGATTAAAAAATAAATAATGACTTACAATCTTTACAGACAACACAGACGTTCCGTTATCATGCAGCTCGTCCTCAAAGATACTCAAGTCTTCGTAAAACAGAATCTGTTCCTTGACCATTAACTTGAATTTATCGATTTTCAGATCAGTTTTTTCGGTCGTGAACTTATCATTGATTGTTCCTTGATAGTCTGTTGTGAAGCTCCAATCAAATGGCTTCAATTTTTCTTCTGTTTTGTCTTTTGGACGGGATTCACGCCATTCATCTGAGCAGCTCACTCTCATGTCTGGCTTCTCCACTCGAACTTTTTTAAGTGCTTCTAATGGACAAATCACAATTTTTGCACCATTTTCGTGCTCAACAACCAGTGAGTTCTTATGAAATACCATGTCAGGCAGATGAGGAAGATTTAATGTTAAATTATACCTAATTATGATGAATAACAACATCCAGTAATATGTTATGAGACAGAAAATTGACAAACTTACATGCACAAATCACAGCACTTTCCGTCAAGTGTACATTCCTCATTATTGATGCAAACGCTCTTCAGGATACATGACTTAGTTGTCGAGATTTTCCACTTTTGGAACATAATAAAGTCCTTGTCCACAACATTGTTAAATCTTGGCAAAATTCTTTCGTTCTCTTCACTTACGTACTTTTGTGGGACTTGCATGATGTTTTTATTCTTCCTTATTGACTCTTTACTTGCTTTAATACTTGTTTTGATTATTTAATTATGTTAATAAGACAGGAATCAATATTTAATCCATCAAACTTTAATTTTATTTGCTTCAAAATTCTGCACAGAAAAAAACAACCCAGGGATTTGCAAGTATCAAGTTTGAATTTGTGCGGGAAAACGGAATGTCAACAAAAGAAATTTTCTGACTCATATGAAGGACCACGGATTGTTTCGACGACATTTTGTGAACTATAGTATTAATTCTAATTTATTAAATTATAGTTTTAAGGATTAAGGAACGAAATTATTTAAAAAAAAAAACTAATTGCTAACGTATTTTAAAAATTCAAATTTTATGAAATTTTTTGGAACTTTTTGCATGAATTTCTATTGGTTTTACATCATTGACAGTCATCAGACATTACTTTAGAAATAAAGGAAGGGTTTTTATAAAATAAATTTTTAAGCCCGCACACTTATTCAGAAGACTAGAATTGATTGCGCAACATTTGAAAATACCTTTACATTATAATCTTTGATTTTTAAAATTGAAAAAATCTTGAAAAAGAAATTCAAAAACAAAAACAGTTCAAAAAGTTCAAAAAAATTTAACATTTTTCAAAAATTGCTGTATCCAAGAGAAAAAACTGACTCTAAAATTTTCAGAAAAAAATAAATGCTTTGCTTCCTAAACCCTGAGACTTACAGTTTTTAGGCGCTCAAACATCGTCAAAAATATTAAAATTAAAATATTAATTTAAGTTTTGTGAAGTATTGAATCAATTAGGATGGTAAGTTACTAGTAGTGTTATTGTATTGTGTAATATTGTTCGCGATGCATGAAAAACGGTCATTTTTATTATTTTCATTTTGTGAAGATTTTAAAAACAGAGTCGAATTTTTTAATTGGCGGTTTTAAGTTGATTTGCTATAGTTTTAAGTAGTTCTTCGTTGTAATCTTATTAGATGTACTTTGATCTCAAATTTCTGCTATTTGATATATTAAATTATTAAGTAAATAGCTTCAAATACGAATAATGGTTTCTGATATATTCAAAAGATCCGAACTCTCGAAGTAAAAGGGTGTACATTATGAACTCAATAGATTAGTCTTTACAATCTTAATTTTGCAAGTAGTTCTGTAAATATATTCATTATTTAAAAATTAAATGTTTGTCATGTATGAATTTTGACTTCTTTTTACAAAATCAATCATCGTCTCGTTTCTTTTTTCACGTTCCTAGTTCACATCTGCTTATATTTACGAAGATTCGTTCGGCTAGAATTCGTGGCGCGCAAATACTAACACAATAAAATTTCTGGTTTTAACATTACCAATACTTTTGCTCTTTTACATTCAAAAATGGCTTTCGCTCATGAACATTTTTCCAACTTTTTTGGAAATTGAGATTTTTTTTTTCATTTTTTAAAATTCAACTTAGTGGGAAAATAGAAAATGCGTAGAAAGATTTGTTTTAACTAGTATTTGAAAGACTCAACTATTATTTACGTTGCATAAGAATATGTTCGATTCTATTTTAATTTTTTTAAAGAGTTAACAAATATTTTTATTTCAATATATAACTGACATTTTGCATTTGAACAGTTAACGGACTATTAAACTATTAACGGTTATTTAAAATATATTTTGACCTTTTGTGATTCAATGATTCAAAATCGGAAAAAATGTTCAAAAATTCAAAAATAACATATTAATTAAACTACATCTTTTAATTGCCAGATTAAGAGTACGGTTGAGAATACGCTTTTTTAACATCCTCTCAAGATCCCCGTAAAGAGCATGTTCAATAGCGGACTCAATCATCCTCTAATTATAAATAAATTGCATGCAAGTTTTTTATTCATAATCTTTTTTATACTCTCAAGAGCATGATCAGAAGAGTTTATAAAAAGCATGATCGTTGACATCCTCATGAGATTATGCTCAAATTTTTCTTGCTATATACTTCACAAGAGAAAGCAAAAATCATTTTTATAAGTAATTATTTTGGATTTTGTATAGTTTAAAGTTTGATTTTTTTCTACTTTAAGTTGTTATTTCCATATCTTGCTAGGTGTTGTTTGCTAAGTTAAGCTTAGATTTGCATATTAAAACTACCAAATCAAAAGAAAACTGCTTATTAAGTCTTAAAAATGCAATTGAAATCTGAGTGTTTTTACAAAACTTAAACTATTCATAAGTTAAAAAGTCTTCCAAAGACCTCTCTAAAACCTATGTAAATCAATTATTTAAGCTTAAATCTATCTCCCGTATTACTGAGAACATGCCGTTCAATGCCGTTTTCGAGATATTTGCGATCAAAGTCTACATAAATTTTCATACAAAATTTGATCATGCACAATATTTTTTGATAAACTTTCACAAACTTTTGGAACTGACAAAAAAATTTCAATTTTCTAACGTATCGGAAAAATATTGTGCACAAGGAATTTTTGAACATTTTTTCCGAATTTGAATCATTGTGCTTTTTAATGAAATAATTCAGAATTAGAGTTTACAACACTTTTTTCAAAAAATACCCCCCCCCCCCCCGAATCTGAATCATTGTGCTTTTTAATGAAATAATTTAGAATTAAAGTTTACAACATTTTTTTCAAAAAGTACCCCCCCCCCCCCCCTCCCCCTACAAATCGTATTGTAGCAAACTCTGATTTGATTTTTGCTTAACCCTAAAGTCCCTCGATATTAAGCATTTCATAATATCCAGGTAGTTAAAATATTGATAGAAGTTCCTTAAATTCGCCATTTTGAATCTTTATTACCTTTTAAATCCTACAAGCTTCTTTATTCTCGAAACGAAAAAATAAAAAAATCATTTAAAAATGATAACTGAGATTTTTTTCTCAAAACATTTTCAAATTGCTTATAATTTTTAAAAATTCAATGAAGTTTCTGATAAAACCGTTGAAATTTTAAAATTCAGGCATTAAAAACCAGTAAAAAAGTTTCTTTGTTGTCAAAAAAAAATGCCGAGAGATTCTCAATCCTCTCCGAGAATCTAAATTGAGATTTAAAAGTCTACAGCGCCCTCTACAAGTTCCACATATATAGTGCATTCAATACGAACGTGCGAACAAACCCGAACCTCATTTCCATCTGAAACATTGGTTGTGTCGGTCGTATAATTTAGCATATCCAAAAGTATTGCAAACAAGCTAGTTAATTCAATATAAATTATATCGCAAAAGTTCATCACAATCGGTAAGAACACTGTCTTATTGTTAATATTTAAAGATGTACTTTTAAAACAATTTAGAAATAAGATTTTTAAAATCAACTTTTTTCAAACATTTTTTCATATATAAGTCTGTATGTACAGACTGCAGATCCGCAATAAGAAGGGCTCCGAACATACTTCGGTTATTTTCGTATTCCACTTCATAGCTATCGATTTTGTACATTTTCTTTTCATTCCTCTACCTACAAGCGGTTTTGAAATAACATTTAGTCTCTGCTACTTTATTTTATTGGGGCTTAAAATCTTTAAATTCCTTTTTTGACTTTAACATGAAATTTGAAGCAATTTCTTTTAATTATTCAGGTTAATCCACAACTTTCATTCACAAACCCCTCATTCGATACTGTCTATCCGCCCATAATTCTCATACATGCTCCGTTAGATTTTTGAATGTGTGAGTGAATTATTGTACGTAATACAAAAACTTGTATAGGTCGACATTTCGTATCTCGTACTTTTTAGCGCATACTTTTTTTCGAATGAAACACACAGAAAATGTCGAAAAATGAGCGCAAACACAAATTTTAAGCATGGCGTTTTAAAATTTAAATTGTCGTTAATTTTCAACTGGATTTTTTAATTCAAATTTTATTAATTAAAATAAATTATAATAATCATAGCTTAGTATCTAACTTTTGCCGGGTCTGCACATAACGTATGTTTTTTTGCGATGCATCTGTCAATATGCCATCCGGTTCCAATAGGACATTGTTGAATTATAGGAATTCCCTCAGCACAGAAAACATACTTTGTACAATCTAAAGGATATGGTGCTGTATAGAAACCATGTCTGTTACATTTTACGTTTCGGTTAGGATCGAATGACAAGTTCTGGAGAAGAATTTTGTTTTAAAAAAAAGAAGTCATGACTTTTTAAGAATAATTGCTTACCGAGCATCTTGGATTGTAAACTGGATGGTCGCACTGCTTATCATCCGGATTAAATACAAATCCGTCAATACATTTCATAGTTAATTTAACTCCATTGGCACAGATGTAATATTCAGTGCAGTTTAAACTTTCAAAGAATAAAATTTCACCTGGTCTATTTGTTGGACATACTACATCCGTTATACCATTTGAATCTAATGGCGTTGTTATGGCTATTGCTGTTGTTTGAACTGCGGGTGGTAGGGTTGGTTGAACGGGAGCTTGAGTTTCAGGATCTGGATATTCTGGATACTCTGGATATTCAGGTTCTTCAACACAATTCACATACTCTGGAGGTTCACAAGTTCCAGTAGTTGCATCAAATTGGAAATCTCCATATGCCTTGCAATCCTCCAAATATCCGATTTCTGCTTCGCAAAAGTAGTAGTATGTACAATAACCAGTAATTTGACGTAAGATTCCATCCTCAATCCCTATACAAGTTGCTTCATCATAGTCCGGTGGTACTGCATTAACAGACATACAAATTAACGATAATATCACTAAGACTTTAATTCCACGATACATTTTGATATTTATTTTTTCACAATAGTTGATTTATATATCTCTTTAAAACTCAAAATAATATAAAGAAGCATCCATGCAGTTCTTTTATACCAAAACTTTATCAGTAGACCGGCTTCTATATGTCTATTAATTAGGTTTTCGTGTATCTTACACTTCAATATCATGGCATTGTTTGTTAAATTGAATTTGTAAGAAATAAAATTGATAAGGCAAGAAGCCTTGATTAGGAACATGCTACTCAGTTTATTCTATTGATGCAATTCAACCTTAAACAATTTTGGTCAATATTGCGTACCCTTGCATGAAAACCTTGCGTCATTTTAATTTTAATTACTCACTCCTTCTCCTTTATCTTTTCACTTACACAGGCAGTCATGATAGCATCAGAATTCAAAGACGCAGATGGCTTTCGGCTACAGTTCGAGGAATCAGTTACTGACGATGAACGTGTCTTTTATATGCGTACATTTATTAGAGTCGATGAAGTTTCAAAGGATCGTGTTCATTGTACCACATGTGATGTACATTTAGGAACGGCACCAATATCTGAGAAAATTATTCGTACTCATCAGATTCTTGGCGTTACGCAGTGTAACAAATGTTTCGCATTTTATGTAAGTACTTATGCCTCAATTGTTCTTAAAGTCACTGACTAATAATTCAATTTAAATCTATAGAATTCTGGAGAGTTTGGCAAAGGAGAGGATGGATCAGAATATTACTGCAGATGGTGTGGACAAGGTGGTGAAGTGTTTTGCTGCTCAACATGTCCATTTGTATTCTGTAATAAATGCATTAGAGACAATTTGACAATGGCTTACATTAAGGAGATTGAAAGGAATGATGATTGGTCTTGTTTTGTTTGTAACAGAGAGACTTTGAAGCGGCTTAGAGCTCAGCATTGGGCATTAAGGAACTTTATGAATAAGCAATTAGAAAAGATTCAAAATGTTAACATTAATTCTGAAGAAGAACTGAATACAATGTTAAATGATGATCAAGCTATATGCTGTCCGAAGAAAAAACGAAAACAAATATTAAAGCCGGCTCCAGCTCCTGTAAAAAGGCCAGCAACAAATGGTGGAGGTTTAACATTAGTTGGACCACCAGCAAAGAAGCAAATAATTGCTCCAACAAAAATGCTTAAAGTTCCTGTAAATACTAATTATCACTTAACAAAACCTGGTCCAAAACCAACTCCTCCAGCATCAATGGCTAAGCCAAAAGGAAATAATGAAGTCGTGTGTACACCAGACATTCTAGGATTATTTAATAATAAAACAAATAATGCTGCACAACGTCCACAAACTTCAACAGCTCCACCACCTTTAATCATGAGACAGAATCAAAGGCCAGTGCGTCCATTAGCATCTACAAGCAGTACAACTGGAAATCCAATTTATCATACAGGTAATAAAAATAAAAATTATATTCTATGTAACAGTAAACAACTGATGATAAGGGAATCGAAATATTTCAGTTAATGGCTATCAAATAGACTTGAATCAGGCTGCAAGGCAAGAAATTTTCCGATTGCCGAATGGCAAACTGATTCAAGTTAGAAAACAGCCTAATTCAACACCAGCACAACCAACAATACGACCTGGACTTCATTTTGCTATGCAGCCTCGTGCTCATATTCCAGTTCGTCCTTCACCGCCAACAATTACAACAACATCGAGAATGATGAGACCAGCTATGGCTCCACAATTGAGAGTATCTAGACCACAACTTCCTCAACAGAGACAAAGTGCACCAAATCAAGCAAATGCTCCTGTTGCTTCCACAGTATTTACACAACAGAATGGATCAATTTCTGTAGCACGTGCTCCACAGCCAGATACTCAATTTGGCAAAGCCAAAACTGCATTTGAAGATAAAATTATTAATGGATTAGAAATTTGTCAGCATACAATCAATAAGATGATAACATTGACAAATTCATCAAGTTTCAAAAACTCACGATCATTTGCAGATCTTAAAGACTTGTACATTCATCTCCAATATCTATTCACATACACATCTGGAAAGATTAAGACACTTCAAGACAGTCTTGGAACAAACGTTGAAGAGTTAGCCAAGCATGATAAATCTTTGAAGGAAAAGGAGAAGCATGATTCAGATGAATTGGAAATTGTTGAGCAAAAACAGGATGTTATTGAAGTATTCTCAGATGATGAAGAAGAACTTCCTCGTGTTAATCAGGTTGCTACTAAGAAGACAGCAGCACCATGCATTAAGTCACCAGAACAAGAAGCACTTGAGGTTGAACAAGAAATAGTATCAGCTCTCCTTGCAACAATGCAAGAAACATTTAACAGACAGCCTGATCAGCCGGAATTGCTTGCAAGCTGTAACTATATGTCAGATGATAAGAAATTACTTATAAAGAGTGCTGTAAAGGTTGAAAGACTTGAGGAGTCAAAGAGTCCACTTGTCAAGCAATATATGATTGCTATTCAGCAGCGTCGAGACAACGAGCCATCAGCTGAACAAAATATTGAGAATGAAGAAGGTGAAGACGGCGATGATGATTTCCCACCATTAGTTCCAGAAATTGTAATGGACGAAAATCCTAATCCAGATGAAATTACAGAACAAACTGAAAATAGTGAAGAAAGTAAGGAGAAAGAACATGTTGAACCAGAACCAGAACCTGAGGCTAATGTGGAAGATAAAATGGAGACTGAAGATGCTCCAAAGTCTGTTAATGATTCGTCAGACGTTGTTGAGATTCCAAGTGACGATGACGAAGCAGAAATAACTCAAACAAATGAGAATGAGTCAGTAGAAAAAGAGAATAATCAGTCAAAAGAGGAAGAGACAGAATTGAACGAGGAACAAAGTAAAGACGACGGGGAAATTCCTGAAGCTTCTGAGACTATACCAGATGAAACAATGGAAGTAGATAACAATGAATCTACAGCAGACAATCCAGATGAAAGTGTTATAAGTTTAGATTCATTGATTAATTGTAATGAAGCCATAGAAAATGAAACAGCAGAGAATGGAACTGCTGAAAATGATGAGGTAGCTGAGAAAGTTGCAGAAATAAGCAGCAATGAAGACATCACTGAAAATGGAGAGGTTATAACAGAGACAGAAAATGATACAACTCAAGCAGAGGAAGTAGATGAATCAATAGTCAGCAAAGATGCTGAAGAAATAACAAAAATAACAGAAAATGGAATCGATGAGAAAGATCTTTTAGATAACTTGCTAAATTCATTGGACGAAAATGAGCCGTTAGCTCCAATTGAATTAGAAAACTTTCCATAGACTTTAAGCTAGAATTTCAAATTGATGTTATAATTTTTAACTAAGCACCTACAAATATATCTGAATTAGTTCTAAGTACCACACACTATTATGAATTTCATTCAATAAATTACATTGATTTAAAATCCTTAAACATTTTATTTTTAATAATTAAATGGAGACTTGACAATTTCATCCGAGTCATCGCACATGACTTTTCGTTTAAGATTACATTGACCAGTTCTTGGATCATATTGAGAACTTCCATAGAGGGCGCAGTCTTCCAAATATCCAACATTATCTATGCAAACATAATACAGAGTACAACTTCCTTTGATTCCAAGGGTAACTGAATCATGATATCCTCTGCATACTTTAGAGTCATATTCTGGAGCTTGAATTGAAACTTTATTGTCAACTTCTAATGGCTGGTCTCTCAATGGAACTTTTAATGCTGCAGTTTTATGGTGAGCTATGCCTGTACACGCGACTTTATCAGCAAAATTGCATTGACCTAGTTGAGCATCAAATCTGAAAGTTCCATAATCACTGCAGTCAATTAAGTATCCAATTTCAGCTTCACAGTGGTAATAGTGAGTGCAGCTATCTTGAACGGCAACTTTTTCTTCATCTTTGTGATTTAAACAAATTTCAGGATCGGTTTCTGGATATCCAAAGATACCTACAACTGCCGAAATAATTAACAAGATTTTACAAGTGTATCGAAACATTTTTAAAAAATAACTGATGTTAAAAATTAATAACATACTTTATATATCAAATGTCTTATCAGGAGAGCTTGTACTTGTCTCCCATGTTAAATCAATTTGTTTGGCAGACTTCAAATCAGATCATCAGTAGTTATTGCGTCAAATAGCTGCCAGTCTCATCATTGACATAGATGTACGACAAGTGTATGACTTCAGGGATGGATAGAAGAAGTCGAGGAATTTGTGGAAAGAGAATATTGATGAAGACAGTACTGCACATTGTTTTAGGAATTTGCAACTGTTAGCTTGCGGTTGCACTGGCTATGAGTGATGTCTATAAACATTGATCTGTAAGGTGTATGTAGATAAGCATGATAGAGACATGAGAACTGTTTGGTTTGATAAGGTTGACTGAGGAAATATCGAAAAAGCATTAAGAATGCATCGAAGGTCTGAATATTCAAGCTATAAATCTGTTTATACAGTTTTTATAAATATTTTGAGGCATGGGTCTAGTTACATGCCGAGCAATCATTTACCGACCTAAAATTACCCAAACATTATCTTCCTTTTAAAAATCGCTACCCTTTTGACTACACCACTGCATTCTGATAGATGTCATTGTTTTGTTTATGGGGAATTTGCTACCTTGTCTTATGACAATGCTTGTCAAAATGAATGACTGCATCGAATTCATGAGAAACGCAGTTTGTGTGTTATTAACGATAAATATATTTATAGAATGAAATTTCGATGAATCTGGACACAATCATAGAAATCATGAAAATGGAAGGGATGTAGGTGGAAATTTTGATGAAGGGGGTTTCAACTTATTAAGGGGGTCTAGATTTTTATGTCAATAATTTTAAATTTTTTTAAGTAACTTAAAAGCCAATGCTAGCAAACAGAAATTTTTGAGTTCTTATTATTCGAACTTCGAATTTTCGAGGTTCTTATTTTTCGAAAATTGAATCTTCGAAGTTCTTATTTTTAAAAAAATTCGTTGTGAATTATTATTTTTCGAGTAATTTGTAATTTTAGTGAACATTCCTACTAGTTTTTATGATTAAGATAATAACTGTGATGAAATTGCATTCCTTAAATGTTAATGCTTTAAAAAACACCTAGTTTAAAAAAAAATAAAAAGTAACGGACTTTCTTATTTTGAAACTTTAAAAAAATACCGCGCGAAAATTTTGAATTTTTTTTGTTCGTAACGGACTCTGTTCTCTTTGCTAACAGTGGCTTAAAAGGAGGGAGCCTCATTCATGTTGAAAGTTATCTGATAAGTAAGGTAATTATCGTGCCAAAACTATGATCAACTTTATTCATGATTCTATTTTAGTACCTGAAATTAGAGCTCGAAGTCAAGGCAATTTTTTTTTTCATACAAAAGAAGTCGATTCGTAGTTGAATCAGAAATAATTTTTACGGCTCGAGTTGACTCTAGCTCTGTCTGAAATACAATTTAATATTCGATAAATCTGAAAAATAAAACTTTTAAAATTTCAAAAATAAAATCAAAACTCAGTCAATTTTTTTTATCAACATTTTTATCCATTTTCATCCTATATTTTTTTTTTGACTTTTTTAGCATATTTAAAAATACATTTTTTATAATTTTTTGATTTACAATTTCATCTTAGTCTCTTATCACAGTAGTTCACCACAAATTAATTAATTATTATAATTATATGTTTATTCAATATTTTTGTCTATTTATGTACTTTTTCAATAAAAACTGCATTTTATATTTATTTTTTTATGTTTTTTTTTTCATTTAATTAAAAAAGGTATATCAATTAATTAGTTGATTTAACCTGAGTTGCAGTCTGCAAAAATCAATGTATATTATAAACATTACAATATTTACTTTTATCTCTTTTGTTTATTTGTAAAAAAATCTATTTATGCGCTTAAGTAACAATTATAAATTATTTCATTTTAATTGTGTTTTTTAAATCAAATTTGAAATAATTTAAAACAGAGCAAAAAGGAAGGAAAAAAGAAAATTATTTATGGCAACATTCATTAATTAAACATTTATCAATGATTAATTATCCTTTTAACAATTTTTTTAATTTCCTCATTTTATGACGGAAATTTAACATCATTCTCAATAAAATTGCACAAAAAAATTAAATTGTTGACATTTTTTCGAAATTTAAGCAAAAATTTCTGTAAAAACTCTTAAAACTTTTAATTTTTGAGAGTATTTGTAGTGTCGTCAAAATTTAAATGCGTTCTTAACATCCTTCAATGATTTATAATTTTTTTTGTTCTTTTAGAAATTTGAAAGTCATCAAATACAAAAATCTAGTTCTGAGCTTAAAATTTTTTGCATTATTAACTACAAATCCAGTTCTTTGTTGATTAAGGGAACTTAAAAGCTCGCTTTAGTCTTCACTAGCTATAGATTTAGTTGACTATAGTGACTTTAACTAGAATCAACTTAATGATGAACTTTAGTCAAATGAATTTTAAAAGAATTCCTTGGATATAACCAATCTGGGCAGCTCTAAGCAATTTTCCTGACGATTTTACTATTTGAGTATATTTTTTACTCAAAAGTAAAAGTCCGATGACTTTAATCAAAAGATTTAAAATTGTCTTCAGAATCAATGAGAATAAAATCTTGATAAAATCTTATTTCGGGATGAAGGGTTCATTAAGGATCAATCCCTATGATCAAAAATAGCAAGTTCAATCCTCCGTACCCATTAATAGCGTACACACATTGATGTTAATTCTAAGTTGATATTCCTATCTTATAAAATCTCTTATGATTTTGTTTATGATTATTCGATATAAATTAAGCCATTAATTTTAGAGTATTTACAGAAATTTTTACTTCAATGTCAAGAAAACTTATTTAAGTGGAATAGCAACCGATTTTTTGAGCTTTGATGTCATTTGTGATATTTATCACACTCTCTAAATGAGATGCTTACGACCCCAACACTTGCTATGCCACAAACCAGCCCATCAATTCAATTGAATTTAAAAATTTGGACAAAAAATTAAAAAACGCTTTAAAAATTCTTCAAATGTGCGTTTGATAAAAATTAAAATCAATTATTATTCTTCTACTTAACAGTCACTAGACTAGCTTATAGTGTACACACTTAGCATAAGCATGTCACTATAAAATACAACAGAGTCTAGTGCTTCCTAACTTTTGTGATTTTTGTAGACAATTGTATGAAATTTCATGACGTTCTTGTGGTGAGCAAAGATTTTTGAAAAGAAAATGAAAAAGTCAACTAAAATTAAAATTAAAAACTTTTCATGAAAAAAAAGTATTTTTCTTCAATGACTTTAATGCATTTTTTTTAAATATAATTTTTTTATAAGTTGGTTTTATAGCTCTCGATTTTCAATGTGTATAATAAAAATTTTTTATGCTGAGCTTTCCTAAATTTCAATTAGTTTAATTTTTGTTTTCATCTTTAATTAATTTATGTATTTTTTTATTCAGTTTATAAATTTGGCAACAATAATCATATAAAAAAATCATTTTTCATTCAATTTAAAGTTTATTTTTTTTTTGAAGATTGAAATGTCGCTTGACGCTGACTCATTCATTGTGACTAAAAGAAACCTACAAAATTAGAGCAACTTATTCCGAGATCTGTTACATTTTCTACAAGAACATGCAGGCCTGAGTCAGTCGTCAAGATAATTCATCTCTTAAACTTTTTATTTTTATGAGGATTAACATGAATTCTTTAAGGTTCTAAATTACCATCCATTGATGATGCCGTTCTCAACTTTAGGCTTAATAAAATTAGCAGATGCTATGGCATTTTTGATAAGAGCTGGCGTATAATTAACATTTATACTTATTGGATGTAATGGTGGTAAGTGTGTAAAGTTTTTACTCAATAAATCCATACCGCCCAAAAATGGAATTAACAAATCATAATCGACATTTAATGGCACATAAAATCCTTGCGTATGACATGCAAATACAGGAATTGGAATGGAGTGATGTGGTACAATTTGATTGTTGCTATTTAAGCTTCCATTTATCGTACCGTTTGGTAATTTGCCATTGCGTGTTGTATTCACGTGTGCTGTTGGAGGTTGATGGGCTGGTGATGGTGAGTTTGATGCCAAAACTTCATTTTTTATATCATGATGAACGCCATTTAATTTTGTTGATGACTCATTGACGGGCGATAATGATGACTTTTTCTCATGAATATGATGTAAATGATTGTGTTCCTTATCATGTTCCGTGGCACATTGGTTGGATTGCATTGACTCTTCGCTATGATAAGTCTCGTGTGTAAAACGTTGTTGAATGTAATTTTTAAATTTATAATTATTGTTGCAATGTTCAACGTCTGTCGAAGTTTCTGATAATTTTCGCATGCGTGTCGATTGTAAGACACTGTCATGTGCATGTGGCGGTGACAAATTATTCAAATGATGATTAATATTTGCCGTTGTCATACGTGTTGATGTCGTCGATGTTGTTCCAGTGCTTGTCGTTGGTGAACGTGTGCTATCATAATCACTAGTATCCATGTGATGCATATTATTGTTATTGTTATTTCCATTAATCGTCACATTCGTGCTTGATCCAACAATAGGTGCTTGTTGTGCACCACCAGTACGGAAACTTAAATCTTTTACATCATGATGATCATCACTATTATGCTCAACATCGGAAACTGATGTTGTTAGCATTTCACGTAATTGTGATAGTGGCGGATTTGGATGATGATATGCAGATGACGTAGGACTATTGCCAGCTCCAATCAATTCGCCATTGCATCGTGTTTTGAAATATTCACCTAAAAAAGAAGTGAAATGATAGATGAATATCAAGTGTTCTTCAGGATCGGCCAACAAAGACCAAAATTGGTATTTTTTTTTGTGCGAGCGTGAATTTTTTAAGGGGGGCAGCAACAGAATCATAGACCCATCAACCACACGGATATATTGGCATCTCACAAAATTATTAATAATTTTTATTTCTTTTGTCGGGAGCCATCCGAGTATGAATGCATAACATTTTATACGAAAATATTATCTTTTTTTTTGTAATTTTTAGCAATCAGCAATCAACACAATCTTCCCTATGTCTCTTCTAAAATTCAGAATTTTTTGTGTTTTTTGGTTGAATTAAAAAAATTAATCCAAGGAATTTTTTGACGATTCCATGGATATTTAGTGGAAATATCCTTACCTTTCATCGCCTCTGTCATATGATCTCTCAAATGTGTTATCATCTTGTAATAAAGCTCTTCGTCGCGTTCACGCAATAAGAATTTTGCTGCTTCCGAGACACAATCATTATAACCGGATCGGTAATGTTCTGCATATGTTGCCTCACGTAACACTTCTTGTGTCTGTAAATTTTTTAAATGTCTTATAGCCATTTCAATTATTTCTGTCTTTTCCACACGTCCACGTCCTTTTCTCATATATTGGGATGGAATGAGGCGTGACAAGTCAGCTAAACATCTGTGGATATAGCAATAATAGAAGAATATTTTTTTCTGTTATGTATCTGTTGATATATGTCATTATATAAATTGCATTCTTACGCATTCATTCTATCACGTCTACGTTTCTCAATAATCCTATGACTCAATGGATCTTGCTATAAAAATGAAATAAAGAAAGATGAAATGAAATTTCGTCCCATATGATACACATTCGGATGTTGTGAGATTTATTTTGTCAGAATTTTTGCGGCTGAACCATTAATTAGCTATGGATGGATTTAATGAGGTTCAAGAAGGTTTAAGGTGGTTTAATGTAGCTAAAGATGGTTTCAAGAAGGTTCAAGATGTTTTGATTTTTCCCTTCAGATTAAATTTCAAATCAATAAAAATAAACTTCCACGCAACCACCCCCCCCCCCCCCCCCAAATTTGAATTTTATTCCACGACCACGACCCTAATCTAAACCCCATCAATTGGTAGAGAGAAAGGTAGTTTCGATCTCCAATCAATGGTTCATTCAAATGGTGATTATAAATTCAAAAAGACTAAGTTAGAATGACGTCACATCCGTACAACTCCCATATATAAATTCTGACAAAATTTTCCCACAGCAAATAATCAACAACAAAAATAAATAAATCAAAATTTTGACTCACTCTCGAAGCTTTTCCGCGTCGACCGGCTGCAAAGTCTGCATCATCTTCACTGTAATTTGTAGCTGAAAAATTCAAGCCTGGTTCTGTGCAATAAGGAAATGCAGACGCTGTCTCGCTGTAATGAGAGAGATGAAAATAGTCAATTAGTTTCGTGCTATGCATTATTTTTAAAGTAATTGATATACTCGTCATAAATATTAAAATCGAATTAAGGCGCAACGAAGCAGGCGATCGAGAATGTGACATGAGAAATTTTTTTTTTGTGTCATTGAAATTGCCGACTTGCGGTGACGATAACATATTTCCTAGATCTTTATCGTTGCTTGTTAGCTATATAAAAATTCATAGCTCATTTGCTCATTTCTTCCCATTTTAGTATGCTAATTAGAAAGCCGGTACATGATTTACTAGGAAATATTGTAACTTAGCCGCTTTGTGACATGTAAATTGCAGGCGTTAAGTTTTAAAACTTTCTAAATGTGAAAATTACCGATCAATTATCGCCATTCAACATACCAAACAGCAACAGACTCAAATACACTGATTGAATCTTAATGAATTCCATTAATGGCGAAATCGGGTGATATAAATAATTATTTGTTCCATGCGACATGCAACTTGTCACATGACCATGAAAAAATTTTAATGAAAAAATGTATTTTTTTTTTGTAACTTGCAGACACGACAAGTAAAACACACAAAAGTTTGGTGTTGCAATGAGCTTTTATTTTTGCACCCGACAAAACGTGATCGGTGGGTTATGTAATACTGAGTCTTGGACTTGCCATAAACGCGCATATGTGCACAAGTTTGAGCTGCTTTTTAACAAGAAAAATGAAGTTATTGGTTAAGTAAGGAATTGGATTGGAGAGTGGATTATAAGGCGCATCAAATATCAGCATAAAGTCATTGATTACCTCGGTAGACTAGTGTAAGATTTGTATGGCATGACTAGGTTCACGTTAAAAAGCTGTTGTTTCAAATTCCATCAAAAAATATCTTTTCAAATCTTCTTACTCAACTGCTGTCTAGTATTGCATTCACACATCCAGACAAACAGAACATCAATACCCAACTCATCAACTTTATAAGATAATCTCGTTTATTCGGCACCAAGTGCATAAAACATTTACAGTTCTCACCAGATACACCCAGTAACTTAACTAGACTTAAAAAATAACCATAAAATCTGGATATACAACTCAATTTCCCACTCATAAAGAGTACGGCTAAAAATATAAATTGCACCGTAATAATTAATAATAATGACAACAAAGACCTTGTAAGATATTGCAAAAGTGAAAACTAAGTTTATATTCGCATACAGTTAAGCACATGGAAGCCACATGAACTCATGCATCTCAAACTATTTAGTTTCATTTGTGGCTTATAGTATGCATTACATTGCATGCCATAAATAATGTGATCACATTTGTGTATGAGACATGTGGACGTTTTGGAATAAAGTCATTAAAAATTTAATTTTTCTAACAAAAAATTTATGGCATTGCATTACGGAAGAATTTTTCAATACAATTGTTGCACGACAAAAAAAAAAGTGTGGCTTATTCATAAACGTTGTGTGTGGAAATGAATTTACATTACATTATTCTATTATTTTACAACATTATTAACCTTCAAACTAGCTAGCTGCTGTTGACTGCCATTGTTAATGCTGTTATTTGTTAAAAGTGGCGCTATTTAATTCATTTAAATTGCTCACATGTGACGCAAATAAATTATAATTATGAATGAATTGGATTTGCTAAATAATTAATTTTAAAACCGGCTCAACTTGATGTGGCACCATAAAATATGATTTTCATCAAGCATTCGAGATCGAATTTACATAATTTCTTATTGGAATCACTTGCAGCAGCTTGATGGAAAATATTATTTTTGTCGGTTTGTTCATTAATGATGTCTGAAAGTTTTCTTATAAATCGTGATGTCAAACAATCTCAGACCGTCCACTTACTCAAATGATAGACGTCATAAGTAAATGACCCGCTTATGAATAAATAGGAAATTATTAATAAGCAATAAACGCTTCACGAGACTTTATTTCTTTAATTTTCTAGATATCGATTACGTTTAATTGAGTTTGTGGGGAAATTATTCAGTGAAATTGCTAATTACGTGAAATCGATGTGACTAATATGGTGTCTGAGGGTATTAATTTTTGAATATTTGAAGCCTGTCATTGAGAATTCGAACTTTCTGAGATGATTAAGTGAACTTCTGAGTTAGCAGTATGATTTTCCGAGATGATTGAATATTTTGTATGACGAGATGACACAATTTTTGAACAATAATTCAACAAGATGACAGAATTCACACTAGGATGACGAAAAGAGAACCAATATGACACAATTTGTCCCAAGATAACCAAATTTATACCGAGATGATGACGTTGAGGAAGATTTTATTTACTTCAAACTTATTGATTTTAAAAAATTGAAAAAAATCCAAAAATTCATAAAATTTCAGGTATTTTCGACACAATATTAATATTCATCAAACCATGCGACCAAATCCAATTAAAATTCTACATTCCATCTCAAAAATTCCACTGAAAAATTCCCAAATAAACAAAAATAAAATATTCATTGTCTTCACATTAATAAAAATCCTTGTCAAAATATTATTTTAACACATTATAAAATTAGAAGCAGAATATTTAAATTTTATTGACCTCTAAATTATCAAGAAAAAAAAACACATTTCAGATAGAATGTCATAAAGTTCCCAACCCTCAATACTTTTTGATTGCTCATAAATTCATGAATGATTTAAATAAATTTATTAATGACTACGATTGCTGATTCTCAACTTGATGATTGTTTTGTTAACAGCGAGGAATCAATTAATAAAAAAAGTTTCGTCCTTGAACTCTCGATTGAGCTTTCTCTTAACTCTCGTTCCATTTCTATAGAATCGTGCATGTTCAGTCAATTCAATTAACGAGAGGCTTTAAAGATTATGGAAATTAAATGCAAACAATTTATTTTTAGTGCTATAAAAAATGTAGGTCTCTCATTTTGCAAATGGTTTATTACTCATCGTCACTTTTGTGTATATTTGACTTATTTTTGCACTTAAATGATCTCCTTTGAACAAGTTTAAAGAGGTCGTAAAATAATTTTAATATTGGAATTCTCAGTCGATGACACACAAAAATGATTCTGAAAATGGGATCGTGATCTAGATCAGCTCTTTGTTGATGATTGGAAGTGCATTTTCAGACTTTCGAGAATTAAGCTAACTCATCCTCATTAGTACATCAACCCCCGAAAAAACCCAAGAAAAATTAGTATAATATCCAGAAAGAAATAACGTGTTTAAATTATTAGGCACTTATTGATTCCCAAAGAGTTTATTTTGATGACTCAGCAGAGTTCGAAAGAACTGAATATTCACAGAATTTCATTCAAATCGCCTCATATTGTTTTAAACAATATTTTCCCTGGAACAGACTTAGTAAACAGTTTCATCAATCATCAAATTAATTCATCTATTATTCCGGAATTCTGATGCAATAAATTCTTTTAATGACTACAAAACTCAAATGCGTAGATCAGGGTTGAGAATTTGATTTAATTACACAATTATTGAATCATCTCATAAGACATCATGTTCAATCTTTCAATGAGATCATGTACGCAATTAGAAGTGATGTAAACTGACCAGTGTTGATAATGTAGCTGAGCGTTGTTGCTCTGATTATTTAAACTGTAAAAAACAGTGAAGAATATAACTTAAGCAGACTTTTTTTCCAATCTAAAGAACTACATCAAGTCTCAAACATTGTCTTTGCATCTCTCGTCTAGCCAAGTAAAATGTATCTTTACAAATGATAAGTCTAAGGTATCACTTTATGTGATTCAGGTCAAGCAAATATAAAAACCCAGTTAACAACACTGTAACAGCCATAAGATGTAATCAAAATATACTTTGAGATCAATATTAAGAGTCATCATCACTTGTGCATGAGAAAATGAAGCTTCAGTTCCAATTTAAGTTGTTTACTCATTATAATAATAATATTAAAAATTCATTCACGATCTAGTTTTCTTGAAACATCATCCAATTGCAACTTAATACATCTTCTACATTTGTGTCTATATTTATTTTATTTCTACACATACTCATGAATGTGCCATTCATTCACTGTTTTTTTTCATGACGCGGATATATAAAACCATGATCACGTGTTGGGTCATGCAATGTGTCAAGTAAATTGATATGAATAATGAGGAAAAAGAAGCTATTGTTTCACGAGTCAGAAAATGTGGTTCAATAGCACCCGCAAAAGTTCAACTGTCGTGAGCAGCCCTCACCATTCACGCCCTCGAGCTTTGTTTAAAGTAAATTTGATTCAACATGCAAACAAGATTAATCAGCCATTGAATATAAGTTCTTAGATAGAAGTTTCGTGTTTTATTTTTCGGTAGAGTTGAATGACAGACTATTGATAAAATTAGCTATAAATAGACCATGGAAAAACCAATCCCTTACTTCTTTGTTTGGAATTTCCACAAAACATTGATGAAAGTTTTTTTTTTGGGAAAAAATTGCGTTTGATTTTGCTTTTGATTAATTGTATTGAATTACAGTTGTTGCTGGGGGAAAACCGAATTATAGAATTTATGAGAATTGCTAGGGCATCAATTAGGGAAAATTTTCAGGCACATTAAAATCGCATTAATTTTTTAAAGAGCAATTGATAGTTTGGGATGAATTGTTGATGAGATATTAAAGCTAATAGTAAGAGTTGAACTTAAATGATGTAAATGTCGATAAATTACTTCAAACATGCTGTCATTAGTTTCCAGCAATTTCACATTCAATCTAAGAACAATAAAAACTATTGTCATCAAAGCAAATCCACCCTTACCTCGCTTTGACGCTAGTTTGCACCATTAAGCACATCTTGATGGACGTCTAACGTAATCAACACCGAAATTCAAACAAAATCAGATTCAAACATCCATAAAAGCCCAATCTATCGATTATTCTAATACGACACTTTATCCTACAATATATCACGACAGTAAACAGACTTTTATGACTCACAATAAAACAATGAATTGCAGTGACGTTTGTGAATTATCC